CTTTGACGAATGTTTTCGTAATCCAGTATTTTCAGATTTCTGGTCGTTTTTCTGTAGTGAAACTGAATTCAAAATAGTATTAAATACTATGTGTTAAGTAGTATTTTGGACGTCATTGTAAAATTTTTGTTTAGAAGTACATAGTTCTGAATTAAGCTTTTTCAATTAATATATTTTTTTAAACTTGCTTCTTTTAGTAGTTTTTTATTCCATTATTAGTAAGTAGTTAGTTTTTTTTCATATTTTTTTTTTTAATAAGAAGGTTTGACATTTTAGGTTTGCTGATCCATAGAGCAGGGAGCTTAGAAAAAAAAATATTTCAATAAAAGAACATTACACATTTTGGAATTTGTTTCTTTTGTGTAACTGACCTATTTATTCCCCCAATATGTTATAGGCTATAAGAAAGTATAATAAGTTATTTCACGATTCACGACTTAATTTATTAGAGGACTAATTAGAAATTCTGCCCACTGAAATACCTACTAAGACAAAACGTTTTACCAACCTTCTCTTGTTTTATTACCATTTTTAGCATAACTATCATGAGAGACAATGTCTTTACATCATAATCCGTATCGAGTTCGCTACTTCGCTAGCTACCATGTATCTGATTCACTGCAATGAATTTAGTATTCCCCTCGTCGATACAGGCTGTTGTCAAGCCGCTACATGTGGATTGAAGATACACGTAACTATGTACGTTCATAAGAGCGCAAAAATCCATACTCGCATAGGTTTAATGATCGGAAACTATCCCCTCCAATACATCGAACATGTTATGCATTTCCTTGCAACTATTTTGATGAAATCTCTGCATTGTTTTTGGCGGGAAATAGCCGCGGAGTAGCCCGGGTGTGCTCTCAATAGCGACTGTTGTATAATTTTAGAGAAAGGAGATTTTGTTTTGGTCCACCAGTGCCGCGGCGGTGGTTCGTGGCATTTCATATCGTTGCAAGTCGGTTTCGCTCGCTATTATTTCTATGGCGACGTTGCCGTTCCGTCTAGTAGATCGGGCTCGATTCTCGGTCGGCCCGCCGCGGTTGGAGGCGCTGTGAGCAGTCAGTCGGCCGCGCAGCTCGGTGCGCGACGTTTGTCCGAGGAAGGGCTCCGCTTGCGTCCCTCCAGTCCCGGCCTGACAGTGTCGTGGGTGCGAAAGAGATAGCATTGAGTGCGAGCGAGATAGCGCTATGGCAGTGTCGCAACCTCGCCCACCTGACCGTGTTGACGCCGCGCTCGAAAAAGTTGCGCCGTTGCGCTATTTGGAGGCGCACGAATGTGCTCGCTTCGAGCAAGCCGTGACGCGCTATTATCTTTATTCATTGTCTCGAAACTGTTTTTTGAGTTATAAAAGGCGTTTTCTACATGTAATTGAAGATATCGACGTGCCTGCATTTAACATTCAGCGGTATGTAGTAGTTTTGATACTTTTTCATTTGGATGCGTCCGAGGCCAATCGTTATCTGAATTGCAACAGATAGATAGGAGCTCAAATCTTCTAGTTCGGTTAACTGGGTTGACTTCTGATCTCCTTCGAGTAACATTGATTCGCATTGACGTTCGGTGAGTCGCGCTGTGTAATTGTTGGTATTTAGTCGCCATTTTCTACGTCGGTGACGAATACCGCCGCGCCGTCCTCGTTTCCCCCGGCCCGATGCAAACCGGACTTTACCGCTCTATTCCGAAAGATGATTATCCTTAGCCACCTTTAACTTTTTCTTCAAACGAGATCCGCTCGCTATGATTCATTGTAGAAATAATAATACCTAACGATTTTCGTGAGTGACTGTACCGTGAAAAGAGGCGAGTCCAATATCTAAATAGATGGTTTCAAAACGTGGCCATGTCAAAAGGCGGGACTTGTAATAACTCTCGATAGGTAGCCATCGACAGTGTTTAGTTGCCTGCGCCGTATGCGGTACACGGCACTCTCGAAAGTCTGTCCGGCTAGGTATTTTGCAGCGCCCAGTCGCTGTTGTGCAGCTAGCTAGGGTGTTATCGATTTGTGTACGTTTTCCGCTATAAATAAGTACGAGTTTGTGTCATCGTCGGTGCTGCCGGACCGGTTTGTGAACGAAACCTGTGTGGGTGCTGTGACCGGAGATTCGAAATTCCAAATTCGAATGTACCTCGCCTCTAGCTTTCGAGTACCTTTATGTTCGTGTTTTAGTTGCGTAATATGTTTATAAAAGCTATATACTTACATTCACCGTACTACGTTAAATTAGTCACGTTGCACATTTCGGGTATTGACGTAGGCCAATTCAATTCGATTATTTCTAGATATTTGCGAAATATTCAATGTCGTTTTTTTCTGACCCTGGACGGAATGATAAAAATGTTAGATTTAAGAAAGTGGAACGATACTGATGATTTAAATTCAGGATGTGACGTCATCTTATTTTCTGAACCTCTTGAGCGTAATTCGTTTAGTTAGTGCGAATCATCTGTTTTGATTAATTAATTCTAAAAAAGTAATTAAGATTTAATGTAGGTGTAATTTATTTCACTAAAATATTGAAATTGAAAATATTTTTTTTTACTAACAACTTGAAGTCAGGATAAACACTAAAAAAGGTTTCCGATTCACAAATTGTGATTAGTTATACAGATATTACATAACTTCAATTAAATTCTAAAAATGTGGGTAGTAATTAAAATAGTTAACTATATTTATAACGTTGCATAATAAACGTAACGCACGTAAATTATTAAAAATTAATAAAACAAAACATCATCCGTGGTTAGTTCGTTTCCGTTTATGAAAATGGCGGGCGCGCGGTGACGGTGATTACCATCATCAGTTGTTATTTTATTCAGCTACTAACGGATCGATGGACTAGATTCGTCAAAGTGAGCTGTAAATGTCGATTACAAAGTACTCGTGAGTGTTATAGAGATTGTAAGCCATTTTTTATTTAGAAAAAGGAAGGAATTGAAGTTTTAGTACTCGAATCACATGTAAGTACATAAAATCTACCGCGCATAACCTCTATGGACGCGTTCTCTCGTTGATTTTATCGGTTTTATATAACGAGTGTTCTCTTCCTGTATTTAAAACTGTAAATTATCCTTTAATAACCACGTGCTTAATCATGCGGCTTCTTATTTCAGTGTGTGACGTTATATTGCGTGTTATGTCTTCGAAAAATGGAGTAGTTACGGAAGTTATCAAGTGTCATTAGTTTATCACAGTTTTTGGTTAGTTTTGTACGATATAAATATTGGTTTTCGTCTATACTTATCTAACTGACGTAATGTCTTTGTCACGCGTGAAGAATTGATCAGACGTTATGGTGAATTTTGTCGATATGAGGTATTTTGCTTCGTTACTAGAGAATGATGGGGATTAGGGCACGCCCACGAGGCAGAAAAGACTTCAGTTAGCTTCTCGCGTGGTGTTTGAGGTCCTATATGACAGAATTCCGAAAATATGAGTTTTTAATTAGCTTTTGAAAGTGATTTTCAGTAGTTAACATTTTTACTAAATCCCCCCCATCCCGTTGCAGACCTAGCCAATAGGACTGACAACTGCGTACAAGGGGGTATATTAAACTAAGCATTGGAAGCATCGCAAAGTACTACGTTACTTGCGGTGTGCCGAAAATGTTAAAACAAATCATTAACTAAATAAACTATATTCATAACAAAATTAACTACAGGATGACTTTTTAATACATTTGTGTTTGCTCTAAATTGCAACAAACATGAAGATAGACTAAAGGCAACCAAAAATGTTAAAATCATAATCTGTTTACAGTCAAAGTTTTAACTGATCAAGGCAATTAAGTGCCTACAGACCTTTAATACATCGAGTCTGAATGATTTATCATCATTACTAGCCAGTTGCCATCCATTGCTGGACATAGATGTCTTTAATACAATGCCGATCATCTCAATATTTATCTTTTCGCATCCAGCCACTACCTGTCAGTTTTGTCTGTAATACCATAAACATGTCTATAAACCTTTTTCTAAAATGTCCTTAGCCTTTCTGTCTTCATCATTTATATTCTTTGATAAACCGTATAGAGAAACTTACATTCAAAATTTAAAAAAAAATCTAGCATTTGAACATATTGCCTCCTTCTTTTTTGAAGTTGGTAATAATTCAATTCTATGTAGATTAAGGCTTTGACTACCAAGATAAACTGGAAGGTAAATCCCTCTCCAACATTGGTCACTGGTGACCGGCGTTAGCGGAGGATTTACCTTCAGTTTTTATTGGCAGCCAAAGTCTTAAAATTGTATCCTGTGTATTTGTCTGTGCTTTCTTCTATAAACCAAATAGAGGTATTTCAAATCCAATATTTAAAAAAAAGCGATTCAAAATTCAATCCTATATAGATTAATAATCAATTTTAACTAAAAATATATTATGTCATCTGGTCTACCTATAAACTAAAATGCAGGTTATAAACAAAAACCTAACTTTAAACTACCAAACATTGATCTAAAATGTACTAAAATAGCTATAAGATATAATTGAATAGGTCACTGCTCTCTTTTCATGTCACTTCCATGTTTCCTATTTATTTTATTCAACGGAGCAGAAATATGCTTGAGATATGATTCAAGACATATTTGATACAAGTTTTGTACTGATTTTCTATATTCTGAGTAGGATGTAGTGGGGCTGAGTGTCTTAGGATGTTTTAAAGTATTTAGGTGTCGTCATGAGCTAATGTACATGTGTTAGGTGGTAATGTAGTGTAGATGTGTAGTCTATTAGAAATCAATAAGAAATTGCTGTTTATTTGGCTTAACATGTAATTCTCGTCCCTATACCCTTAAAAATACCTATCATCATCATCAGAAAGAAGATATATTAGTCTTTTTCTTAGTCTAGTGCCTATATTGGTTTAAAATGTCTATTTGAATTTAGATGATCTAGTTAATCCTGTGTTAAGTATATTAAAAGCTTCAGAACATTATATTAATGATGTAATTTCTCTCTAATTCCAGGTGATCGTGTGATGGGAAATCACTGATCATCTATTATGATGAAACGGACAGGAGTCCCGCGGCTCGGGCCTGATGAGCCCGCGCCCCTGCCTCCCCAGAATCAAGCTCAGGTAAGATTTTGTTCTTTATTTCTCATGATCATCATCATATCCTCCGTAAGATATCCACGGCTGAACATAGGCGTTTCTTATGACTTTTATATAGGCTGGTTGGTAGCAACCTGCTTTGGCTGCAACCAAGTGCCTAACTGACAGCTGACTTAAGAACTATTGCTGTATATCGGACAAAAATGTTAGGAAGTTCATTAGAAGTGGTTTGAAAGTCAAATAGATTCTTTTATAACAAGAAATATGATTAAGAAACACAATTTTGACTGCACGGTTGGTGCGGTGGCTGTGTATCCGTGTGCCGCACGGAGTAGCTCTGTATGATCCACAAATTGTTGTTCCGGGTCGGGGTGTCATGTGTATGTGAATGTTTGTAAATGCACCCACAACACTGGAGAAAATCCTAGTGTGAGAGGCAACATTTAATAAAGGATACACAATCCTCCCTTTTACTTCTACATGATAACCATATTTTTCTTATAAAAACATATAATTGCACTCAACAATAATATTATAATTTCAATAGACAACACACGTATATAATTTCGCAACATAAACTTACTATAAACACTTCAATTACATTTTTTTTTCATCTTATACAAAGGAGTCACAAAATGGCGGATGCTAGAGTATACCTATATGCTTTTTTATGTTCTTTTGCGCCGTATATTATGTAATGAATAGTTTCCTTTGCTTATGGATATTGAGAGAGATTTTTTTGATGTTGTTCGTTCATAAAATCGTAAAAAAAGCTGTAAGTTATTATGAATGTAGCTACTGGAGTTTTTTAACTGACTTCCCAAAAAGAAGGAGGTTATGATTGTAATATGTATATGGTTTGAGGATTCAGTTTAATTGGTTGCGTGGAAGATCAGGGAATGATTTGATAATGTCTGATAAAGGACAATGGGACAGAATAAGAAATAAATCGCCCGTAAAGAAAAGAACATAATATTCCTTAAAATACCGGCAATGCATTTGTAACTTCTCTGGTGTTGCGGGTGTCCATGGGAGCGCTGATCGCTTACCATCAGGTGATCCATCTGCTTGTTTTCGTCCTTTTCTACAAAAAAGACATAGGTAGGTGTTGCTATGACTAACAAGGGCGGGTCAAAAAAGGAGGCAAGTCTGCATTATTTAAGTTCAAATTGCGATGGAGAAGGACAGAACAGTGTTGGTTTCTGAATTAATAATGGATTTTGTAGTTGTTAAAGTTTATCTAAGTATACATTTACAAAGTATTGACTAGATTTTTTTATGGAATAAACCGGTAATCGAGCAGACGGATCACCTGATGATAAGCAATCTGCACCGCCCATGGACATCCAAAACACCAGAGGTGTTAAAAATGTGTTACCGGCCTTTTGGCGATTAGGAATTTGAGGATTATTGGGGAATTGGGCCTCCGGTAACCTCACTCAAGTGTTGTTTCACGTCAGTTTTCTGCTAGGCCGTGGTATCACTCCGGTCGAGCCGGCCCATTCGTGCCGAAGCATAGCACTCCCACACTTTAAACAACTAGATAGTTAGATAGCACATTATTATCGTCAACGATCAATACTTGGATTTATACGTACATATTTTACAGTAGTAACGGTGCCGGCGCCTGGAAACTAGGTCACTGCAAGCCGAGTAAATTATTAAAGAGGAAAATTGATTTTCTCTATGTAGGCCCTAGGAAATTGATTTATGCCCCATCGACAAGTAACTACAAATTAGATCGTCTATAAACTCTATTATTAGTAAAAAGTTTATCACAGAAGGGGATTCGATCTAGAGGGCGCCCTCATAGACTATGGGCAGTTCGGCACGCGCGTTTCGTGGCGCCCTCTGTAACCTGGCGCCTTAGGCACTTGCCTAGTGTGCCTTAGTGATAATACGGCACTCTCAATCAACTTATATTTATCCACTGCTAGATATAGGCCTCGTCAAGAGCACGCCATTGAGCTTAATCTTCAGCTCGCATTCAACCATAGCCAGGCACTGATATGTTTGACAATCTATGTATTAAAAAATGGATCTCTTTTGCCCGAATACTGAAACGTTACTCAATTTTAAGTCGCGCTTAATTATCGTTCTATAGTGTGTAAAATGATTGAGATGGCACGATAATTAAGTAGGTACAACTTAAAATAAATATGCGTTGAGTTAACCTATTTTTTGCGTCATACATAACAAATGACGGTCAAAAAATAGTGATCGCTGAAACCTACTAAATAAATTATTATGTTTTCGGCTTCGGCCGCGGCGGCAGTCGCCGCGTCGCGGGTAGCGAAATGCTGCTCATGAATATGAGCCTCTAGCATGGCTTGAAACTAGACGAGTTCCTCGTCAAATTATTACGTGAGTAAGCCGAAAACATAATAATTTATCGCTCAAACCTTTCATAATAGGTCGGTTTCATTTGACCATTTTTTTTTGCTCAAAAGAGTTTCGTGCAGTTTGCGATTATAGGTACCCGATGTTTAAGAATAGACGCACCCTTTATTACAATAGGACTAATAAAAATATCTGGAAAAACAGCTGTACTTGTCCCTTCGGAGAACAAGTGTGATTTTATGAATATTTTTATGTTTATGTAGTTCTTTTAGTAGGAAAACACATTTGGTCGTCAATAACTGATATCAAAATACACGTCAGACAGAGATAAAATGGAATGATTAAAACAATGCATTTCACTTTAATATTCGATCGATAACTATCATCATCAGTGTGGGTTATTGTAACACTGATAAAAGATATTGCATACAACAATAATAAATAGATTAAAACATATCAATATTATTAATTTTTTCTACCTACCTCATGTTCTAGACACTCCAGTCAACTTTGTGGTACCGTGTTAGTATACTGCTGGTATAGACCAGCATACTTCTACATAATAGGAGCTTGCCATACTTGGCATACAGGTTGGAGACCGCATTTTAAAAGGTTCAGGTTTATCAGAGAGTGCTACTGCCCGGTCTCTGTCAAATGTGTAGTCTCTTAGTCGGGTATACGACACCCGCGCGATGGTGGCAAACGTATTCCACTCTGACGTCATCATACGACTATGTACATTTTTATTAAGGGGGGAAAATCATCGAATGACTGCTCCCGCCTGGGTGAGGCGGGAGGGAGTGTCACTCTTACTGACTAAAAACCACCCCGTTCCTTCTCCTGCACGTCGAGCCCCGGTTACCCGTTAGGTTCTCCGCGACACGACTATGTACATACTAGAAATAATCAGCTCATTGACTTGAAACTAAGTGCGTCATTTATATTGTCACATCTATAGCAGATTCCATATGTAACCTGTTATACAGATAATTTGGATACGTACCAAAAATACGTCTATTCCGACCACGTTGTGACTATCCTTGGCGACAAGAGTTGGGTGCAATGACACTGAAAACTGACGTTTAGTTTGCGGTTTTCCGCCGGGATATGTGACGTTAAATACTTATTTAGGGTGTTATTATTTTTTTTTATGGCATAAGCCGGTCATCGAGCAGACTGATCACCTGATGGTAAGCAGTCGGCGTCGCCCATGGACACCTGGAACACTAGAGGCGTTACAAGTGCGTTACCGGCTTTTTAGGGATTAGGAGTTTGAGGATCGTTGGGTATTCAGAGATTGGGGAAGGGAAGGGTAATTGGGCCTCCGGTAACCTCTCTCACACGACGAAACACAACGCAAGCGTTGCTTCACGTCGGTTTTCTGCTCGGCCGTGGTATCACTCCGGTCGAGCCGGCCCATTCGTGCCGAAGCATGGCTCTCCCACACTTAAAACGGTTATGAAAACCGTTTATTTTAAATAGGAAGTGTAATACGGGGAGGATAGTAACCGTGTGGTTTCCTTCGCCCTTTATTTCAGACTTCTAACGTCATGAAAGATATTGAATTAATTAGATTGTTTGTAGATTCATTCGTTTCTCTCTTTCATAGCTTGAAATTAGTCGAGGCACCTCGAACAAGTACGGTGTACAAGTTAATTAACTAATTTAAGTGTAATGAATGTGATGGAAGCTAAAGAAGTATCTACCTAAGGAACATAACACCTATTTATACCTTATCATAGAATAAAAACTGATATTATTGTATACTTTTAGTAGAATTGAATACTTGTTTACATCGTCTACTATTATTACCCATAATAAGCTCTTTACAAGCTAACAAACAATATTATATTTTAACTAAGTTTCAAATTAAACACGGTGACTATAGCGAATTAATTCGATAGCAGCATTATTTGTTTATGTAATCAGAATTAAATGCTTTCTACGTAGCAAATAGAGCTCAAGTTACCATGCCAACATGGTAGAAGCAATATTAAATTTTAAATGAAAGAATTATCGTAGATTTCTGTATGCTTGTGTGGGTTTTACATGGGTAATGTGAACAGTCATTGGCAGAAACTAATAATACAAGTACCCAAGCAGCTTCGCCCTTGCATTCCCATGGGATAAAAAGCCTATGTGTTATTCCAGACCATACTACCCCTGTTTTTATAATAACTATCGTGAGACATACTAAATCAAGTAAAAACGCGGGTTACTCACGTGAATATACTGAGAAAAGCTCTACTAGTTTCGAACCACAGAGGGGTTCTTCCTCATGAGCAGCGTGCGCGGTCGCGGCGACGTCGCGCTACCCCTGTTCCAAATTTCATCCCGATCCCTTCAGTCGTTTTGATGTAAATGAGTAATAAATAAACATACAAAGATTCACATTGATAATATTAAGTAAGAGATGAGAAACTCCCCCCCATCCCGTTGCTGACCTAGCCAATAGGACTGACAACTGCGTACAAGGGGGTATATTAAATTAAGCATTGGAAGCATCGCAAAGTACTACGTTACTTGCGGTGTGCCGAAAATGTTAAAACAATTATATTATTAAGTAATCTTTGTTATTATTCTTACAGTCTATTTTAGTCCTCTGCTGGAAATAGACATCACAGTAGTCTTGTAAAAGAAATCTGTCTGTTTAGCAGTGGGTTCAACCACGATAAATTAGTTTCAAAAACCTAGGCATATTTGTAGTCTCTGCTATTCAGATTTTTACAATCGAAATCGGCGATCCTTAGCCCAGGGATCAGGAAAAAGTTTGAATTGTTATTCCGTCATAGATAAAAAAATACCTAGTACTATATTACATTTCCATCACTGTTAGAACAAAATTAAAAGATCGACATTTCGAGAAAATACAATCACAAAGAAACCATAGCAACCTAAATACACTACAAATTAAAATAAAACACAATTTCCTTGTCCAATTAGAGTGTATTAATATGATAAGTGTAGCAAAACAAACGAGCTGTTTACACCTCGAGGTCGATACATTGATAGCGTGTCGATAACCTCTACTTGTTTACAATTATGCACATCACTATTTTATATACATACATGGTGTATATAAACTTAGGCATTCGTCCTTTGGAGGTGCATACAGAAACTACAGAGCGCCGTCACAACGCTCCTTACATAATTTTTTAGCTTCCATCACATTCATACATCTGATGGTATACAGAAACTACAGAACGCCACCTACTACGCTCCTTACATACTTCTTTAGCTTCCACCACATTCATACATCTGATGGTATACAGAAACTACACAGCGCCACCTACTACGCTCTTTACATACTTCTTTAGCTTCCATCACATTCATACATCTGATGGTGTACCATAAAAAGGCTATATTTTACACCATCGTCCTACTCAAATAGGATCAATTCCCACGCGAAATAGCATCTAATTATAAACCACTATTTAATGGTTCAAGTCAATGAAAACAAAACATGAGTAAATAAATAATAATAGCTTGAGTATAATAATAAAAATGTTGGCACTGACATTCTTTTTCATATATTTGTGCCAATTTACTTAAAATATTCGGGTCAAATAGTCAGAGTAAACAGTATTTTTATTATTTGTAAGAAGTTTTTAGTTATTTTTAAACATTCGCTTTTTTGTGTTGGAGTAAGCGTAATTATAGGTCCACTTCAAAAAGATGGATAGGTCTGACAAAGGTCGCAGATAGCCACTTGATACATACAGGTCGCGATTTGTTGTAGTCATTGGGGGAGGACTGTGGGAGGCAGTAGACAGTACGTGGCTGTACGCGTGATGTATACATTTTTTATGGGATAAGCCGGTAAATGAGCAGACGGATCACCTGATGGTAAACAATCTGCGTCGCCCATGGCACCTGGAACACCAGAGGCGTTACAAGTGTGTTAAGGCCTTTTGAGGATTAGGAGTTTGAGGGGGGATATTGGGCCTCCGCTAACCTCACTTACACGACGAAAAACAACACAAGCGTGGTTTCACGTCAGTGTACTGTGAGGCCGTGGTATCACTCTGGTCTAGCCGGCCCATCCGTGCCGAAGCATGGTTCTCCCACACTTAAATCTCTTATTATCTTCCTCTGCCTCTTTTTTTTATGTAGGCTAAAAACCATGTTTTTAACTCCATCACAGACCTGTCCTAAATGTCGGCGAAAACGCGCGAATTTATAAACAAATTATTTGCGTGAAAACACGGTTGTATGCCAATAAGACATGAGGAGTGAGTCAGTGGGTTATTTATAGAGAAACGCCAACGTTCACTCGAATATACTTGTTATTGAGAGCCGGCCTTGCTCGATTCTACCTGCGCACTGTAAACACTGATATTTTTTACACGTTTGTTTATTCTGATAGGAGATGTAATGCGATATTCGGATTGTGTATCTTGTTAAATTTTAAAGTAGACTTTAATGCATAATTGTAAAATTGTGTAAGAAATGTTATGTTAAATCTTGTAGAGACAGTTTTGAGCATAGTTCTTATAAAAAGGCTTCAAGTGTAACATCATTTATTAACAACAATATGAATTAATGTAAGGATAGTTCTAGTTGTCGACTACATCTATTGGATTTTAACTCTTTAGAATACAGAAAAATATAGTTATATTGAGCAAGACTTTTATATACAACAATCAGAGAGAAAAAAAAACGCGGGAGAGAATAAAAAATGTTGCCAACATAACAATAACAATTATTGCCAACAGAACAAAATAAAGGTTGCGTTTTCAAATACAAACAGATTTTGATAGACAGCGATCCTGCCTATTCCATTTTCATTAGTATATTGACAAAGAGTGACAATATTTCTAACCTCAAGATGTCTTTGTTACAGATTCAACAAGCTGGTGCAAGCAATATGCACACTTTGGCCCAGTCGGCCCAACCTCAAATCTTGGGTAAGTACAACTATGTATTTCTATTTATTTACTAAGCTTCGATGTCCAGTAAAGTTATTATTACATGTTTTACAATAACTGCCTCGTTGGGCCGGGTGGTCGCAAGGGCAAGGGGTCTCGGGTTCGATTCCCGGGTCGGGCAAAGTACTACTGGGTTTTCAAAAATTCTCAGTGGTAGCACGGTGTCTGGAATTGTGCCCGGTATATGGCAATAGGCTCACCCCCTATTACATGGACTCATAACATAAATAATAAAATGTGGGTGTTACATTCTACAGTCTGTAGCATTAAGTGCCGTAATGTGCACCTCTACCTACACATTCGGGGATAAAGGCGTGATGTTATGTTAAGATGATGTTATGCTATGTTTTATTACAATAATATACACAAAGTTATTTCGTCAATCAGAAGTTTTAGAGCCTATTAGTTCCAGGTCTGTTATATTTATATCTATCCTTATACAGTTAAAAACAGGAATTATCAAAATAGCAGAGCTACTTTACTACTGCGATTGATTTCAAGACAATATACCAAAATACAAATTTGTGTCTTCAAATACTAATCCCCCAATTTCTCCGACAGACATCCGTTCCCCAGCGGGGCCAGCCACTCTTCTCTCGGTCGGTAGCAGTGGAAGCTTCGCCCGCACTGGCGCTCGGCCCTCGGGAGGTGGTCCCGTCATCAACTACCTGAAGACCAGCGCCGTGCAGTATGCCGCGAAGCAGCCGCCGCCGCCTCAACAAGTACCCCAGAGGCTCAAGGTTGGTGTTATTAACATTTTTGTCGTTATTAAACTGTCAAACACCAAGCGGTCACCGGTGACCGCGACCTATTGTTCTTTAATTGTGTCTATAAAACCGGTACTCGACGAGTTAATACTTGAATATCTGAAAAAAAAACTGCCTCGTTTGTTGAGTGGTCGCAAGTGCGACTGCCGGGCAAGGGGTCTTGGGTACGATTCCCGGGTCGGGCAAAGTATAACTGGGTTTTTAAAAAAAATCTCAGTAGTAGCACAGAGTCTGGAATTGTGCCCGGTATATGGCAATAGGCTCACCCCTTATTACATGGGACTTATAACATAAATAGTGAAAAGTGGGTGTTACAATGTACAGTAGCATAATGTGCACCTCTGCCTCCCTTAGGGGATAAAAGGCGTGATGATATATGTTATATTATCTGAAAAAAAAAAGAGTCCATTGGTCTGCAAATCTACAATTTGTTTTTTTTAATTTTAATTAAATCCATAATTTTTAGGGTTGCATTCTAAAGGGTACAAAAAATACTCTATTCTTAAGTCTGAGCTGACTGTAGTTCATCAATAGACGGTGTACCTCATGAACTGTGGTAGACAGTTTTTTATTATCTTCAGCTCAGGGATTTCATAAATGAGGTAAAAAACGTGGTATTTCGGTTAAGCAAAACATTATTGAGATATCTAATTTTCAGTATTCAAAGTAATAACACACCAATGTCGAATATGGTTATAATCTTACCTCCTATTACATACAACTCGATAACTGACCAAAAGTGGGTGTTATATTTAATACGTGCACTTCCCACACCTTTAAACTGTCAAACACCAAGCGGTCACCGGTGACCGCGACCTATTGTTCTTTAATTGTGTCTATAAAACCGGTACTCGACGAGTTAATAAGTAAAAGATATAATATTACACTATTTATACAACCACTCTTTATCCTAAACCACGCCACAATCCTGCATACAAATTATTACGGCTTCTTTTTTGAGGGGGCTAAATTATCTAATGACTTCTCCCGCCTTGGGTAAGGCGAGAGAGAGTGTCAGACTCTTACTGACTAAAAATCACCCTGTTCCTCCTCCTGCTTCGAGTAATCCATAAAGTTCTCGGCACCGGGTAAATTATTACGGCTGGCAACACGACCCCACTTCACGTAGCGTAGTTATCAAAAGTTACATAAATAAATGGTGTTCTATTATTAGATTGTTTTGTTACGCGAGAATAATAATATTTGTTGTTGGTAACACTTTATTTCTATGTATAAATGGTGTTGTTGTTTTGTTTTTGAGGCTGTATGCTTTATTGTTTTGTCTGTATAGGTTCAATGGGTTTTTTAAGTTGTATTTGACATAATTATGAGTTTCTCGAGGCCCTATGTTCCATGCACATACTACTTCAGTTTCCCCCGCTCCTTTGTTCTAATATTATTACGCCTGATGCCTAAAGAGATAGGCAGGGAAACTAATACTCTCATGATATAAATCTCATTATATCGCTATCTAAATATCTACTGCTAAATATAGGTCTTCCTCTAGAGACCTATGCTAAGAGCATACATCATAACGCCTTTCAATCCCCAAAAGGGTAGACAGAGGTGCAGCAACACCAGTTTTTACCAGTTATGCTATAAGTCATGTATTTTTATAATAAGTATCGTGACATATGCTGAATTAACAACTAATTGAGTCATCATGTCGTGGTGGCCCGGTAGTTAAGACGCCCGCTTCTCATGTACGAGGTTGCGGCTTCGAAACCTACCAACGACAAGTACCAATATGACATTTTCCGAGTTATATGTACTTTCTAAGATTATTTCGACACCAATGACAAACGGTAAAGGAAATTATGAGTTTGAAATCGCCAACTCGCAATGAGTACGCGTGGTGATTAATGCTCAATCCTTCTCCATGTGAGAAGAGGCTTTGCTCAGCAGTCGGCACTTATAGACTGTTGATGATAATGAGTCCCATGTAATAATTAGTGCTATTCTGGATCTATTCAACTCAGTGTTTATTTAATTTAGTCTAAGGTTCTTATTATATTGATAGCCTATCCATGACCTGCCCTATCAGTTATGTCACCTATATAACAAGTATACAACAATAATACTGTTTGTTTGTATCAATCATTCAATACTGTTACGTAATAAGTACGGGAAAAGGTTATACCCACTTGTTAAATAAAGACTTAAAAGGCGTAGTGCTAGATAATAGTGTTCTTTTTCTTTGTTAACTGGCAACTCGAACTGGCTTGTAAATTTAGCTTTTCATAAAAATCTTGTCATTTATTTTTAATATAGTTGAGAATTGCGTATTGTGATAATTTTTGTGATTAGGGAGTTAATTGTGGTAAATAGATGATTCTTTCTCAAGATATAGAAAGTCTGTAAAAATGGTAGTAAAAGACATTTTTCTATATTTAGCTCAAAATATTCCAAAAATATTGCTTTTATTTCTATTTTCCTAGATCCTAATATATTTGAAATCAAATGTTAATTTATAAGTAACAAACTAATTCAAATATTCATATAAGTTCAAGCTACTGCAGTTCATTGACCAATTAGATTATTAATTAAACAATAAACATAACATAACATCACGCCTTTATCCCCGAAGGGTTAAGCAGAGATGCACATTACGGCACCTAATGCCACTGTACAAAGTAACACCCACTTTTCACTATTTATGTTATGAGTCCCGTGTAATAGACGTGACAATTCCAGACTCCGTGCTACTACTGAGATTTTTTTTAAAACCCAGTAATACTTTGCCCGACCCGGGAATCAAACCCGAGACTCCTTGCCTGGCAGTCGCGACACTTGCGACCACTCGGCCAACGAGGCAGTTAAACAGTAAACTCCCTTTAATCTCCGAATATAAGCAAAAGTTCTGCACATACCGTTTATGAAATTTAGAAAGAGTCCAGTCCATAAATACGAATCTAACGAGTACTTATCTTTCAGCAGGCCTTACCACCCCAGCAGTCGAATTTAGGAGCATTGCCGGCAGCTTTAGGTCGCCAGTCACCGGCCCCAGCGCCCCTGGCGACCCCGCCGGGCGTGGCGGTGGGACCGGGCGCCCAGCAACAAGCTGCTGGCCAATTCCAACGCCTGAAGGTGGAAGATGCTCTGTCCTACCTTGATCAAGTCAAATACAAATTCAATACGCAGCCACAAGTTTATAACGACTTTCTGGATATCATGAAGGAGTTTAAGAGTCAAACGTAAGTGTTTTTAATAGTTTGGTTATTTTTTTATTTTTTGTTCGCTTTCGTAGGGGTTTCCTTGACTATCTTTTCAAGTTATATTTATACTTACCTACATAGAAAACGATATTAATATGAAAATACCTACATGAGGTATTTATCAAATATTTTAATCCGTAAATAGAAACACTGAATTGAATTCAGAGGCAAGACTTTGACATTATAGCATGAAGGTTTAATATTTATTTACAATTCTTCATATTTACCTAAAGAAGGAACACCTGTATGCCTAATAGGTACTACTTATACATCAAGGAAATAAATTATTTGGGTTAGGTATAGGTATGTCAGACTATTAAATTCATTATACATACATACCATACCTACTTAATAATACACAAAAAAAACATTAGAATATTACAATAGTCTTTAAATGATGAAAACAATTACCGTTTGATTTTTCAAATGAAAAAATTTATGGCTGCAATTTTTATTGTACTGATTGATTTTTTGTTTAGCCGACACCTCGAACCCCAAATGTTACCCATCATCTTAATTTTAGTCTGTATTGCAGTATCGACACCCCGGGAGTCATCACCCGAGTATCAAACCTGTTTAAAGGGCATCCCGAATTGATTGTGGGATTCAACACTTTTTTGCCGCCTGGATATAAAATCGAAGTTCAGAGCAATGGCCAGGTAAGAAAACTTTACATTATAATATTTAATTGAACCTGGGTGATGGTATTTTTAAATGGAACAAGTAATCTCAATAAAAAAATCGGTTTCAATGAGCTGTACTCTACCAAACAATGCCTTTTCGTTTGATATCCATAATGAAGGTTGTTGTGGAAAAATAGTAGGGCGTATAAGAGGGCATCAACTTCAAGATCTTGAATTTGATCTCTGCATCAGTTTTAACACGGGACAAGCAAATACAATACAACATGGGGTTCTTCAATGAGGGAGTAAATAGGCAAGGCATGTGCAATGTCCCAAGTGTTGCAAGCGATCATAGGCCATGGTAACTACATACCATCAGTTGGGCCATGTGCTTATCTTGCCACAAAGTCAAAGTCAAAGTCAAAGCATTTATTTCAATTAAACCATAGTTTGGTGCTTTTGAAACGTCAACAAATACAAAATAAATAATAGTCTGTCAGTCAGTCCGTCAGTGAAACTAGGTGAAGCTAGGTGCTCATTCCAAAAAGTAGATTCGAATGGAGAAGAACGAGCAAGAAACTCCATTCGTTACTCTTTTTAAAAAAAAAAAAAACACAGTGATTGCTTCACTACAGGACTGACAGACTGACAGTTTTTATTTTGTTTGACGTCCAATAGTTCTTTATTATATTGGTCTTATTGAAATTTATGATGATTTGGAATGGAATTTCTTATCAACAAGAAAATGTGCATGTAATTGTAAAACTATTTATTTATTTTTTTGTTATTCAATAATGTTAATTTGTTACTTTGTTTTGCTGTGCCTTACAGGCTTCATAATTGTGTCCTAGTATTAAGCCCGGTCTGTAACACATTTTTAAACAATATGGTATGTAAATTTAATAATACATATTATGGGAATATGCATAATTTTATGCTCAAAAATGGCCGAAAATTAATAACATATTTCAATACAAAAACTGTGGTTACGATCGATTTTTGACCGATTTAAAAAAAGGAGGTGCTACATTTTATCTATATGTATTGTTTATCTCGGGATTGACTAAACCGATTTTGATGCGGCTTACAAAAAATGATTACAACTAAAATCTGCTCTTAAGTGTATTAGGAGTAGATTTCAGTATTATATAACGATTTCAAGTCTCAAAGTCAGTTTTGTTAAACGTTGATCATACATAAAAATACTTCATACGTCAAAAATCGATCCTTATACACAGATTTTGAATTTAAACACGTTATTAATTATGGCTGTTCGCCATTCTACAAGCAAGACAACTACAATGAATACAAATGTGTCCACAAACTATAAAATGTAATTATTCGCAGGTGTCTGTATCAATGCCGTCTCCCACGGGGTTCGGTGGTAGCAGCGGCAGTGGCGGCAGTAGCAACGTCTTGTTGGGGGTTCAACACCCGCCGCCACCGCCCCAACCACAACTAGTTCATCTCCTCCCAGTAGCTCAGTAAGTTATTTCTTTAGTCTTTCTGCTTCATTGGCCAAGTGGTCGCAAGTGCAACTGCCGGGCAAGAGGTCTCGGGTTCGATTCCTGGGTCGGGCAAAGTATTACTGGGTTTGTAAAAACCTCAGTAGTAGCATGGAGTCTGGAAATATGCCCGGTATATGGCAATCGGCTCACCCCCTATTACATGGGACTCATGACATAAATAGTGAAAAGTGGGTGTTACATTGTACAGTGGCATTAAGTGCCGTAATGTGCACCTCTGCCTACCCCTTCGGGGTTAAAAAGCGTGATGTTATGTTATTTAGTCCTTAATGTACACAGTTTGATTACACAATGGCACATAAGGTGAACTTAATACCATCTTCCTTGCACTCCATCAAGTGAAACAAGTGAAACAAGTGAAGTGAAACAAGTGAATTTATTTCTGCAAATAGGCTACAAGGCAGCACTTTTACACGTCAATTTTATCAAGCGAACGATGAGGTCGATGAGGTCGACACACATAGGATAATCTGTTGTGGTGGCCTGGAAGTTTAAGACACCCACTTCTCATGCATGAGAGTGCGGGCTCAAAACCTTCCAACAACAAGTACCAATGTGACTTTTCCGAGTTATATGTACTTTCTAAGATTATTTAGACACCACTGACAAACGGTGAAGGAAAACATCGTGAGGAAACCTGGACTTATAATTTCTAATTATAAATTTGAAATCGCCAACCCACATTGAGCATGCGTTGTGAGAAGACTCCTTTGGCCAGTAGTTAGACAGTTGTAGCCTATTGATGCGATGATGTGTAATAGGATATTTATACAAAAATTAAAGTGTACAATGAAATATTAACGCACGAGGCGAATACTATTTTACTAATGTCTACTGCATGATTGGTAAAGTGGTCGTGAGCGCAAGGTCCCGTACATCGTGCTGTGTGTTCGATTCGAGCATGAAATGTGTAGGTTATTCACAAAATTAAATTGTTGTTTCGGATTTGTATATGTATTGTATTTGTGATACCAGCAAACCCGGCGAACACCAGATGGCTTCGTTTTATGTAATTATCATTTTGTTTGGTGATTAAAAGATGAAGAATTTTTTTTTATTTATTTTTTATAAACCTCACGGAGCCCGAGATCTTTCCAACGAATGGAAAACTGTGGAGATCGGTTCGTGCGTTCTGGAGTTATAGCGTCAAGAAGGAAAACCCGACTTATTTTTATATAGTAGATGTAGCTATCTAAAATTAACCCGAGTGTCTTGTCCAAACCCGAATACGTAGGCGTACTCTAATATTGACCGCATCAGTCGAATCAAACTTAACAGTAAAATTATTTACAATTTACTAGTGTAAATGACAAATTTTACAACAAAAAAGAGCTATCCAATATGCCGATCTCCGGCCACCGTAAGCGCGGGCCTGCGGACGGCGAGCATGGGTGGCTCCCCGTCCGACCAGAAACAGACCCGACCGTACGGCGCCGAGCGTTCCGCGCGCGCCTCAAAGAGCCATCAGATCACCATAGATAAGGCCCAACAGGGCCGATGCCGATTCGGAGTCGCGGAGAACCTAACCGGGGCTCCGGCTCGACGTGCAGGAGAAGGAACAGAGTGGTTTTTAGTCAGTAAGAGTCTGACACTCCCTCCCGCCTCACCCAGGCGGGAGTAGTCATTCGATGATTTTCCATCCTTAAAAAAAACCAATATGCCGCAGTCATTCCCTCGTTTAAACGCGAACAAACATTCGTCAATTGACATTTTTTTTTATTTAAACATGCGTAGCTACTGACGTTAATCGCAAATTCATAACTATCCTTTCAATATTTAACATAACACATGAAATACATTACAATAACTTATCTATGATTGGTTAACGTCAATGTTATGTTAATTTCATAAAGTGTAGGTACTCTGTCTGACGTATTACAATTGTTATTAGTTCATTCAACTTGTGTCCAAGTTTATATCTGTTTTGTTATAATCATTTCTGTGTTTTGAGATGTAAAAATATCCAAAGGTCGGTTGTGTTTCCTAACGTGTTTTTGATTCTTCTTTCTGCTTCTATCTTTTACCCGACTATAAGAAGGGTATTGTTTTTTCGCGTGTGTCTCTTGTAAAGTTAACTATAGATAAAATAATTGCAAAGGATAATGTTTTATTTTCAAAAAATTTGCTCGATTTAAAAAAATAACCAAACAAGGTAATAAATGTTTTTAAAATGTTCAATTTTCTAAAATCTTTTATATTACAATCGCAATAGTATAATGAAAAAATAAAATAACACGAACATGAATTACTATTTTTCGTAACAACTAAACGCAACATTTCATATACGATTTTGAGGGTAAATAAAAAAAGTTCACCTGTCAGTTGACATTCAAAATTCAGTTTAATTCAAAACGTTGACTAGTAAACATTTGTTACTTGACTGTTTATGTACATAAAATCACGCTTTTATCCCCGAAGGGGTAGAACAGAGGCTCAGATATAATGTAACACTCAGTTTTCACTATTTTTGTTATTATACGTGTGAGATTATTACCATGTTTCTAATTTGTTCTTTTGTTGTAGGGAGGCTGAAAAAGAAGCGGTGCGGCGCGCCGGGGGCCCGTACTCTAACATGGAAATGTAAGTTTCTTATTTACTATGTATATCAATAGGTTTTTGATGTGAATATTTCTTTTAAAGCAACCATTTCGTAGGTAGCATAAATAATGTCAACAACAAAGGATTAATTCTATCGTATTTCGTACAGTATTTTTTAAGATATTAAACAGTTAAAATTTTGATTTGTGTAATAGAAATGTGGTTGTTTTTTTTATGATTTGAGACAATGATGACAAACCGTGCGATGTGCAAACTACAGAATGTCGGTGGTGATACACGCATGCTGCCTTCCTACTGAAATGTCTCTATTAGCTATAAAATTACACAATATGTCAGAAACCCTTTGTCTGATTACAAATATTGAAAAGATGTTAATAATAATACTATGTCCTTTATAACTGCGATGTCAGCCGTCACTAGTAATCAAAAATATATAATATACCTTCAAATTTATCCAGCAGTCAAAATTTTACGGCACTGTTGGTGCGGTGGCTGGGACAACCAGCTGCCGCGCAACGTGTCGCGGGTTAGATTCCCGCACGGAGCAACTCTGTGTGATCCATACATTGTTGTTCCGGGTCTGAGTGTCATGTGTATGTGAACTTGTATGTTTGTAAACGCACCCACGACACAGCAGTAACCCTAGTGTGGGGTAATATATTAAAAACAAACATATTTTCTTTGATAGACAAAGGGTTTTTATATGTCTAATTATCTCAAAAAACCTCTATTTTTTACCTCATAACTCTATATTTAACTCAACTTGTATCTCCGCAGGTCTGTGAACAACGCGATCGTTCACAATCTATCTGTGAACGCGGCGCCTACTAACACGCTGCATCAGATCTCGCAGGCCCATCAACAACTAGAGGCAGCCGCTATTCACCATGCTGCTGGGCCCGGTAAAACAAACTGCTTATTATAATAAACTAGCTTTTACCTGCGGCTTCGCTCGCGTCACAAAAGGATAAAAAGTAGCCTATGTGACAAATACCAATACACACAGCGCCATCTATACCAATAATTTCGTTTTCCCTCGAGGAAATCAATTTTTTCCGGGATTAAAAGTATCCTATTATTTAATCCATACTTCTAACTTCACGTCTGCAAAAAATCAAAGCAATCGGTTTAGTAGTTACGGCGTGAAGGTGGAACAAACAAACTCACTTTCCGATTTATAATATTAGTAAGGATTAATTTATGATATAGATGTGACCATTGCTCTTATTGAACTGTAAAATGCATAAATAATAAAGATATGCAATAAGATCTTTTAGTAAAGTTAAATTGATTTCATATTGATGCTCATGTTCCAGGAAGTTGAAAAGTGGAATCGCATCACTCCATTCTATAGTAACTTATAACATCACGCCTTTTTTCCGAAGGGGTAGGCAGACTTGTATATTACAGCACTTAATGCCACTGTACAATGTAACACCCACTTTTCAGTATTTCTGTTATGAGTCCCATGTAATAGGGGGTGAGCCTATTGACATATACAGGACACAATTCTGGATTCCGTGAGAGTTTTTTTTTAAACTCAGATCAGATTTTTGTACTAATGATTGTTAAACAAAAGTTAGAATTTATGTATTCCAAAATGATGAAATTAATTACCGATTGATCTTCAATGATAAAAACTTGCGGCTGCTCTTTTGGAGTTCTGATTACCCTCCTACAAGCTTCAGCCACTATCTATACATACTTTGAACATGTAATAATAACATCACGCTATTCATTGTACACAGGGTCGGCCCAGCCAGCAAACTCGGCGCACCCCGCCCCCGCACCGCCTAGCCAACCAGTGGAATTCAACCATGCTATTGAATATGTTAACAAAATTAAGGTAAGGAACAAATATTTTTATCTTAACTTGCTAGTATTATAAATGTCTAAGTTTGTATGTATGTTGTTACCCAGTTTCGTCCATACACCTAAACATATCGGGTTAAAGCTTTTATTATGGCATAAGCAGATAAACGAGCAGACGGGTCACCTGATGGTAAGCAATCGGCGTCGCCCATGGACACCTGAAACACCAGAGGCGTTACAATAGCGTTACCGACCTTTTGGGGAATTTGGAGATCGTTGGGGATTCTTGATTCATGGAGTTTCTTGGTCGTTCTTCTCCATTTGAATCTATATTTTGGAATGAGCACCTAGCTTCACCTAGCTTCACTAACATACTATTAATTATTTTGTATTTGTTGACGTTTCAAAAGTACCAAATTATGGTTTAATTAAAATAAATGCTTTGACTTAATCGGGCCTCCTCCGGTAACCTCACTCATTCGACTGCACTGTTGGCGCGGTGGTTGGGCAACCGCCTGCCGCTCAACGTGCAGCGGGTTCGATTCCTGCACGGAGTAACTCATTCACAGATTGTTGTTCCGGGTGTGGGTGTCATGTGTATGTGAACTTGTATGTTTGTAAACACCTATAACAGAAGAACGAGAAGTTTTATAAAAAATATTACTCACAAATGACTTCTTATATACACAATTAACAAACTACATAGAGACAAGAATATAATGATGAAATTAATTACCGATTGATTTTTAATGATAAAAACTAGCGGCTGCTCTTTTAGAGTTCTGATTTAACAACAATTTTTAACATAATTTTACTATAAATATACGTTACTAATACAAATTATTTCATTGCAGTCCCGGTTCTCTAGACAACCGGACAAGTACAAGAGGTTTTTGGAAATTCTGCACGCGTATCAACGCGGACACCGGGAGACGAAGGAGCCTCAAGCGAAGCAGCAAACGGAACAGGAAGTGTATGCCCAGGTTCGTAACTTGTTTTGGTACTTCATCATAACATCACGCCTCTTTATCCCCGAAGGGGTAGGCAGAGGTGCACATTATGCCACTGTACAATGTAACACCCACTTTTCACTATTATGTTATGAGTCCCATGTAATAGGGGGTGAGCCTATTGCCATTGGTTTGGTACTTGTTTTGTATCATGTTTTGGTACTTTTTGGTATCATAATAGTATGATGGTTATGTAACTCGCAGCTGTAGCCAAATGCCACTTATCGCTTGTCTACATGTAGAATAGTAAACCAAATTATAAATGGAATTGACGCAAATTTTGACACTTGTCAGTGTCATCCCCATACATTTTGATTTCTACTTTCTCTGTAGACAAGCGATAAAGTGGCGTTTGGCTAAAGGCACAGACATGCTAGAAATTACTGTACTATATTTGTAGTATGTTTCTTGTTAGTTGACCTCGTTGAACGAGTGCTCGTAAGTGCTACTGCTGGCAAGTCTCGGGTTCGATTACCGGGTCGGGAAAAGTATTACTGGGTTTTTTTTAATTCTCTGTAGAAACACGGAGTCTGAAATTGTGCCCGGTATATGATGATAGGCTCACCTCTATTACATGGGACTCATAACATAAATAGTGAAAAGTGGGTGTTACATTGTACAACGGCATTAAGTGCCGTAATGTGTATTAATTAGATTCGATTCTTGGGTTGGGCAAAATTTTCTTTTCGGTTTTTTATGGTACTCTCCTGTTATTAAGTGAGATTGAGCAGTTTCTGCCTACCGGTTCATTATAGTCGTGAAAATCAAGGTAGTGAAATAAAAATATTCACAATACTATACTAACTTGCTGGTTAGGCAAAGAAAATCTCCATTAAATGTAAAATTAACCATTATCTTTTATTATATTTCATCAGGTGGCGAAGTTGTTCGAAAACCAAGATGATTTGCTGGCGGAATTCGGTCAGTTTCTTCCTGATGCTAAGGCAGTAACCAAACCTGCACCAGAGAGTCGCGAGCGACACTACCCACATGTACGCTCGCCGCCCGTGCCAGCACATCATCAGGTAATTGTCATGAGATACATAATTATAATACTAGCGGACCCAACAGACGTTGTCCTGCATATCCACTTGAATGTATAAACAAAAATTCATTCAAATTAGTTCAGCTGTATAGGATAAATAACCTAAACATCTACTGCAGCGCCATCTGCTGGGCTGATTTGTGAATCTAAACCATTCCCAGATCCCCTTGAACACACACAAAATTTCATCAAAATCGGTCCAGTCGTTTGAGAGAAGTTCAGTGACATACACACTCATGGAAGAATTTTATATATAAAGATATAAAGTGAAAGAGGTGTGTAGGAATCATAGTAATTAATTGGTGTTTCATAGTCTGCCTACCCCCATAGTTGTGGAGTTATTTATGTATATAAGCTATAAGGAGCAATAAGAAGTGGAAGGAGGGTATGGGATGCCCTGCAGTGGGACGACCATGGCTAAAAATAAATAATACATAATCCATCGTGTTACTATTAGGCTGAAAGATGTTTACTGCTGAATATAGACTGGACTAGAGAAGAGATTTCTACAGTTGAACGTAAACTATCTCCTTTGCAAACAACTTGTAATTGACGGCAAGGTTGGTGCTTTGTGGCTAGACAAACGGCTGCCGCGCAACGTGTCGCGGGTTCAATTCGCGCACGGAGGAACTTTTTTTGTGATCCACAAATTGTTGATCCCGTTCTGGGTGTAGTTTGTGTATGGATTTGTGTGTCGAGTATGTATGTAATGCCCCCCCCGCAGTCCCGCGCGGAGCCGGAGCCGGAGCGCTACGCGGGCGCGAGCAGCCCGCCGCCGCACGCGACGCACGCGCCACACTCGGCACACCCGCACCACGTCACACACCACCACCACGTTCCGGTAACTATACTTGCCTTTTTTTAAGGGGGGAAATCATCGAATGACCGCTCCCGCCTGGGTGAGGCGGGAGGGAGTGTCAGACTCTTACTGACTAAAAACCACCCCGTTCCTTCTCCTGCACGTCGAGCCGGAGCCCCGGTTACCCGTTAGGTTCTCCGCGACTCCGAATCGGCATCGGCCCTATTAGGCCCCATCTGTGGTGGTCTGATAGCTCTTTGAGGCGCGCTCGGAACGCGACGCGCTGTACGCTTTATTCTCCTCTTAGGGTCAGATTTTAATTCACAGTTAATTCTTAACTATAGAATAAAATTGACAGTTTTTAGTATGAAGAATTTGTAAAATATAAAACTTATTTCATTGATAAAATGAAACTAACGTTGGAAAAATCTACCTGTAACATGTTCTGAGTTATTTCGTTGCGGGTCCCAAGACATTTCTTCATGTCTCTAGCACATTGAACTTCAGTGTTCCGGCGTTTTCAGAATTGGATCTACTATAAATCCTGGCTTATAGAATCTATAGTGGCTGGCTTGCAGCAGTTTTGGAAGGTTGTTGCGGGCTTGTCCCAAACAAAGAAGAGTATACAAACAAAAGAAATAACAATAGGAGAAAAACTTAAGTTGATCATGTTTTTATTTGGGGCAACTAAAGGATGCAAGAAAAACTAATTTGTTGTGCCAGGGAAAGTACTAATGTGACGCATAGTTTTTGCCAGTACCTTACAAGGCATCAAGTCATGAATTTTAGATTCCAAGATATGAAATGTAGAAAAATCTCAACACTTCAGTTCAAAAATTAGACGTCCAGGCGACACACGTACTTAGGTATCGTCATGAGCTAATGTTCACATGTAAACAACAGCTCATGTAGTGCAGAGATTGTCCAGTCAACAAGGATGTAGCGTAGACTGTCCAGGCGACACACGTACTTAGGTATCGTCATGAGCTAATGTTCACATGTAAACAACAGCTCATGTAGTGCAGAGATTGTCCAGTCAACAAGGATGTAGCGTAGACTGTCCAGGCGACACACGTACTTAGGTATCGTCATGAGCTAATGTTCACATGTAAACAACAGCTCATGTAGTGCAGAGATTGTCCAGTCAACAAGGATGTAGCGTAGACTGTCCAGGCGACACACGTACTTAGGTATCGTCATGAGCTAATGTTCACATGTAAACAGCAGCTCATGTAGTGCAGAGATTGTCCAGTCAACAAGGATGTAGCGTAGACTGTCCAGGCGACACATATTAAGTAATTCTTTACTAAAATTACTTAATGTTATTGAAATCCTTATCACAATGAAGACACGTGATATTACTGCTGTATCAATACGAGACTGGCTCGTACGTGCGGTATCAGATAATATGATAGAAAAACACTGATACTGTGTGTCTTGGCTAATGGACGCAAGATAACATTGTTTACAACGCTGATAGTTAAATTACTATTGTTCTTGTTTTTATATGTTACTGATTTATGCTATTTAAGTTGTATTTTGCAATTACTTTTAACAAACCGACTTCAAAGAAAGAAAGAGGTTCTCGTTTTGACCTGTATGTATGTATGATTGTCACTGTTTGTCGAATGTGTGTGTGTGTGTGTGTGTGCTGTGTTACACTTTGTAGAATTATATGACTTAAAAAAAATTGCGGTTGAAGTCGGTTTTTTAACTTCGGTCGGTTGTATGGATGTAAATATTTGCGAATCTGTATGTTTGTAAACGCACCCACGTCACAGGAGAAAGTCCTAATATAGGCTAACGTTTTCGTTAAAAAATATACTTTTAATGAATACTTAAAATTAATTTATATTTTTTCTCCATACAGCAACTGTCTAAGCACCCAGGTTCCACATCGAGCTCGGTGTCAGCTCCAACACAACCACACCATCATCTCAAACGATCTCCTAGCTTTACATCGTCCAGTCAGATGGGTAAGTCAAACAAATTCTAGTTTTATAAACATAGTATCCATGAAACAATCCCCTTCTTTTACATAAGACATTTTGATACAAGCAAATTGATTCACTGAACGACCAAACTGTCAGGCATCTAATATATAAAAGAAAGACTTGTTAATTACACTATTTATAACACAAGAACGGCTAAATAAATTTGGTGGGGTAGCTTAGAACCAGAAGACGGACATGACATGGGGTACTTTTTTTTACTCTCTATCGAAAATCACGAACGGGAAATAACGGGATTGCGCGTACGAAGTCGCTGGTAGTAGTTTTAAAGAGATAAATGTTTTAAATTCATATTTGTTTAACGAAAGAAATTAGATTTTTATTTGTGACGGCCATATAATGACTGAACTTTTTACGTGTAAGTATGAGACTCATGCTTTGTTATGTATGGATTGACTTAACTGCAGTAATGTGACCTCATAAAAACAGCCGAAAAATAGTACGAGTTGTATCTCATATCTTATACTAATATATAAAGCAGAAGAGTTTGTTTTTTGTTTGTTTCTTTGAACGCGCTAATCTCCGTAACTACAAGTCTGTTTTGTATAATTCTTTTTGTGTTGGATAGCGCATTTATCGAGGATGGCTATAGGCTATAAAACATCACGCTTCGACCAAAAGGAGCCGAGCAGAGCGTGTGAAACCGCGCGGAAATAGCTAGTTTTACATAATTTTTTCATTAATGACCGTTGACTAGTATCTCCTTAACTAAAAATCATGGGTTACTCACTTGAATATACTGAGAAAAGCTTTATTAGGTTCGAGCCACAGAGAGGCTCTTCCTCATGAGCGGTGTGTGTGCGGTCTCGGCTATGTCGCGCAGTCTTATGTGAATCCACGTCAAACTAACAAACTATAAGCTCTTACATAAACTTTTAACTACAAACTTTTACAAAATACAATATAACTAATAATAAAGTTATTCATTCAACAGCAGTCGGCGCGCCCCCGGCAAAGAAGTCTCGTGTATCAGGTCTGACGGGGGCTACGGTCCGCGACGTGTCGTACGCAGAAGCCTCGAAGCTGGCTACGGTGCACGAGTTCAATTTTTTCGACAGGGCTCGCAAGGCTTTGAGGTCGCAACATGTCTATGATAACTTTTTGAGGTGAGTTACTTTGATTTTCTTAAGAAGAATAAAAGGTTGCTTAAAATAATAATTTGCTTGAAAAAAAACATAACATTCCCCTGTGGACATATACAATGTAACACCCATTCACCAGTTTTGTTACGCGTCCCATCTAATAACGGAGAGCCTATTGCCAATATACGGAAAAAACACCACTAAACTGTCATATTGGACTCGTTAATATTGATACAATTTGCAATCTTTTTTAAAAGAAAATGTCAATGAACTCGTCTCATGACACAGATAAAATTTTGTAATGTCTACACTCATTAAATATTTTAAATTCTGCAACCATGTTGTAATTATCGTATTTACAAAATTAACTTTGAACTTGAGACAATGATGACAAACCGTGCGATGTGCAAACTACAGAATGTCGGTGGTGATACACGCATGCTGCCTTCCTACTGAAATGTCTCACTTAACATCTATTTGTCGGTAAATTTGGCTACGATTTTTATTCCCTGAAGGAGTGGACACAAAGCAAGTGTAATAAATATCTTTAGGTATGACATAATATGTAGAAAAAGGTACTTGTCATGCCTCTAGAGTAATTTGAAGGCTTTACTGCTACAGATTGTTACAAAGTTAACAGATAAACAGCTGAAATAAATCCAATAAATTAACAGATATTAGTAGATTGGCCTATGGCCTACTGTATTATTGAAAATATAGAATTTGACACATTTCATTATGTATAGAATTTATATAATTAGTAGCCAAATCGACCGACATAATATAAAGGTTTAATATTAATAATTTTACTTACAATTTCTAATCACAATTCCAACATCTAATGCCATATTATGTTCGACAGATGTCTATTACTATTTACCAACGAGATAATATCGTCGTCGGAGCTGCTGTCTGTGACAGCCCCGTTCCTATGCCGCCACCCTGAGCTCCAGAAGTGGTTGCAGGATTTCCTCGGACCACCATCACCTCCACATACTCCTACCAATACTTTGCATAGCGGTAAGTTGGAAACATATTTTGGTTTTTGTGTGAAATTACTCTTGTTTTGTAGGAATTAAAATGTAGGTATGGATTTGTTATAAATCTGATAGACTGTACCGTTTTGGAACGATTCTGGGTTCGATTCTCGTATCTGATAGTATCATTAGTCTTTTCAGTTTTCCAAAATGTGTACACGAAGTCTAAGACGACGTTGTGTTACAAATAAAACTTTGACGATATTTAACTTCATTCACCAGAGTTTTAAATATAGTTATAATTTGAAATAAAAAAGGATAGGCAATGCATATGCATTAATACACACTGTTTCAGTGTATGGACAAAAACAGCTGGTTATTCAGATACCTATATTTTAATCGACAATACTAACAACAGAAATGACCAAAATACAAATGAATCAACATGTATAAATAATACCCATCAAGTAATCGCCCCCGTCCGTATTGCAGGCGCCAGCTACAACAGCGCGCCATTCGGCGGAGCGAGCAACGTAGTGTTCGAGCGCGAGCGGCCCGCCGCCGCCGACGCCAAGCTGCGCTACGAGCCCATCGGACCGCTCGGCGCCCAGCTGCGGCACGACCGCCCGCAGGGGGACGCCGCCATGGACATCGGTAACTATACTTACTTTAAGAAAAGTTAAGGAGGAAGCTTGTTTGAATGTGATGGAAGTTATAAGATGCAAGGATAGATTAAATTATGATGATATGCCTAGAAGTCTAGATAAATGAGATAAAAGATTAGAGTACTTAAGGATAGAAGTAGGTGGCGTTCTTTAGTGTCTATCTACTTTAAGAGACAACCTAAAAACTAAGATTATGATGGCGCTGTTCTTAAATATATGAACAGATGAAAGAAAGAAAAAAGGTGCCTGTCATGAGATGTAAATTACTGAGCCAATACTACTTAGTTGGAATATGAGAGGATATGAATTTCTTGAAGAGACAAACTCTACGTCACTTTTTCTCTTTAAAAAACTAAAGCATATGTGCTTGTATTGTGATGTGCTGTAGGCACACATACATTGAATACAATTCCTCAACATTTATACTAAACAAAAACACAATTTTCCAGATTTATCGACGTGCAAGCGCCTGGGCACGTCGTACTGCGCGCTGCCCCGCGAGGCGGCGGCGCGGCGCTGCTCGGGCCGGACGGCGCTGTGCCGCGAGGTGCTCAACGACACCTGGGTCTCCTTCCCCACCTGGAGCGAGGACTCCACCTTTGTTACCAGCCGAAAGACTCAATACGAGGAATATATCTATCGCTGCGAGGATGAGAGGTTTGAGGTTCGTATCTTATTTTTTTTTATGGAATAAGCCGGATCTGCTGATGGTAAGCAATCTGCGTCGCCCATGGACTCCCAGAACACTAGATGCGTTGTAAGTGCGTTACGGGCCTTTGGGGATTAGGAATTTGAGGCTTAAGGAGATTGGGTAAGGGGAGTAATTGGGCCTTCGGTAACCTCACTTACATGACGAAACACAACGCTGTGGTAGTGTCACTATGGTGTTCTGCTTGTTGGTGGGAACACTCAGGTCGAGCCGGCTCTCACGCACTTAAAATGTGAGACGTAAATATAGTCTGCTGTGTAAATCAAAATGTTTTTGGGATAGTGTCAATTTGTCCCATAAACATTTGGACAATTTGCATAGTGAACCGAATGTATCTAATAATTCCATCTCTCATTCCAGCTGGACGTCGTAATAGAAACCAACGCGTCAACGATCCGTGTACTGGAAGGAGTACAGAAGAAGCTCGCGCGCATGACGCAGGACGACGCCAACAAGTACCGACTGGACGACTGTCTCGGCGGACACTCGCCCACCATACACCAGAGGGCGCTGCGCCGGATTTACGGTGATAAGGTGGTACGATCGAGTCGGACTACTAGGCATGCTGTGCAAACTAGAAACGCAGGCTTTTATGCGTAGCGTGTAATAAGCCTGCCTGTATTTAGGCGCTGGGTTGGGCAACGTCAGTATTTTACGCCTATTAAACTGCTACCTATTTCAAAAGTAGATTGAATTAACTTAAAATCGGGGGTTACTCTAGTTTCGAACCACATAAGAGTTCTTCCTTATGAGCAGCGTGCGTTGTCGCGCATTCTTCTCTTTAGTTTAATATATCTAACGATAGTTATTATAAAAACAAAAGTACATTATACGAGTTTCAACAAGATATTTACTCGATATAAATCCCCAAATTTTATTCATACGAAAGTAGACTCTAAGCATCGGAAATGAGGTCTATAATGAATTTGGTGGAGAGCGGTCCCTGGTGACTGCTTGGAGATTGATCAGATATTTGAACAGTTGGTGCTGTATATGGCATTATGGCATAAGCCGGTAAAAAAGCAGATGGATCAGCTGATGGAAAGCAATGTATACAAAGAGTGCACCTTATAAGTATGTAACTTCATAATATTGTCGTTTTATAACTCGGACTCTTATAAGGAGGTAGCTTAGAGGTAGCTTAGAACCAGGAGACTGACATAGGATACTTTTATCTAATACTTTTTAACGAAAATCACGAATGGGAATTTGAATAAAATAGTATTGCGCGTACGAAGTCGAGGGCAGAAGGTAGGCTTCCTATATAAAGATGACATACTGTCAAAACATTTATTTCAATAAAACCATAATTTGATACTTTTGAAACATCAACAAATACAAAATAAATAATATTCTCATTCCAAAATGTAAATTCGAATGGAGAAGAACGAGCAAGTAACTCTATTTAAGAAACTCCTGCGTTTAAAACAGCAAATATTAGGATTAATTTGCCCAACCACAGCTTAATAAATGCTGTATGTAGTACTGCTATTATTATATCGTATATTTTTTTTATTTATACACAGCATTGCATGCCTTTGTCTCTGCTCTTTTATATCTAGTTTGTAGTTAGTTTTTAAGTTTGGTTATGGTTTATTTATTAGTTTTAGTTGATGCACTATGCACCATTGTGCTAAGAATTACGCCTAAATACTGCAGCTGTAGCCAAATGTCTCATAGCGCTTGTCTACATGTAGAATAGAAAACCAAATTATATGGGATTGACGTAAATTTTTACACTTGTCAGTGTCATCCTCATACATTTAGTTTTCTACTCTCTCTGTAGACAAGCGCTAAAGTGGCGTTTGGCTAAAGGCCCTGAAATGCTGACTCAATTTTTATTTGTACATCTCTCTTATCATTTTATAAAGAGTTTGTATTACAAATATTTTTAGACAATAGACAAAACTAAGCTTGACTGCACGGTAGACGGCCGCGCAACGTGTAGCGGGTTCGATTCCCGCACGAAGCAAATCTTTGTGTGATCCACAAATTGTTCTTGGGAGTCCAAATAAATAAATAAATAGAGGGTTCCAGAGCGAATAAAATGCAAAAAATAAAAACACTAGTCGCTCCGTTTTTTGGTCCTAAGTGTTTTTTTGTAGTGCGACTTTATATGTAGTTTGGTCCGGGTGCGCCAAACAACTATTTGTGTGATCTACCAGTTATACTATAATGGTATAAATATTTGCTTAAAACCTTTATGGACGAGTGGAGTTAGTGGTAACTCCATTAGTTTAGTGGAGCTGAATTTTAGCTTAACATCGCCCGAATACTAAAAGGCTATTTCAATTTTAAATTGTAATTAAATGTCGTGCCAAATATGTTTCATTTTACAAAGAATTTGTATCGACAGGTATAGTTCTGTTTCTTTCTTTGCGTGCGTAAAAATTGAGTAACCATATTATTCGGGCGTATGTAGATAGAAACGTGAATATAATTAGTTGTAACACTAAGCACCAGTTGCACAGCTTTCTGATATATTTAAGTAGCGAACAGCTAAGGAATGGAACTCCTTACCGGAATCTGTGTTTCCTGACATATATAACTTGGGTGTCTTCAAGTCCCGAGTAGATAGAACTAGATAGGTTGCTCATAGGTAGGCGTGCTCCATCGTCGGCCACATCATCGCTTACCACCAGGCGAGATGGTGGCTAAACGATGACCTTTTAAGTATAAAAAAAATATTGAAGTAGTAGATAATACTATAATAATGTCAAAGTCAAAATCATATATTTTAATTATACTAGGAATTCGCTTTTAAATGTCAAACAAAAAAGAAATAGGGATGATCACAGAGTATGAAAATTATAAATATAATTAGTCCGTAAGTTAGGTAATGAAAAAATACAAGACACGTATTTCTTTATTTGGCGGATAATAAAACAATACTTAGATAAAACGAATCAAAGTTTAGGAGTGGGGGCTAAAACGTCATTTCTACGTATAAAATGTACATAAGTGACGTTACGCGACATTTCAAATCAATATATCGTCGAAAGTATTCGTTTCTGTAAGAAAATAAAAAATACGTGTCTAATGATTTAAAATAACCTACCAGACAGACATTAAAATAAAAATTAGGCATCTACCCTTTTAGAAAGATCAAAAAGTACAATTATGTACTTATTATCTAGAAAGTGTTGCAACTGTGTGCTATTAAAATAAAGATATAAATATAGTGGGTCTATGATTCAATATAATTAATGTTTATTTCGTTTGCAGGCTGTGGACATTATAGCCGGTTTGAAGAAGAACCCCACAGTCGCCGTGCCAGTCGTACTACGCCGGCTGAAGGCCAAAGAAGATGAATGGCGGGAGGCGCAGAAGGTAAATTGAAATAATATTGCTACTCTTGTATGCTGCAGAGATAGGTTGTAATGTATTTGTTGTCAGTTATGTTTTACTAGCTATTACCCGCAGCTTCGCTCGCGTCACAAAAGGATAAAAGTAGCCTATGTGACATTTACCACAGCGCATCTGTACCAATTCTTTTGTTTTCCCTCGGGAATATCGAAATTTTCCGGGATAAAAAGTACCCTATTATTTAATCCGGACTTCTAACTTTACGTCTGCAAAAATTCAAAGCAATCAGTTTAGTAGTTACGGCGTGAAACCGGAACAAACAAACAAACTCACTTTCCGATTTATAATAGTAAGGATATCTCATAATGTGAAATATTTTAAGCGTAATATAAATTGGCATGTTAGGGGTTATTCATTAATGACATCATACGTGATTTTTTGCCCCTCTCTCCTGTCCTTTTCACATTTGTAAGAGACTCGATTACCACTAGTGTGACGTCATATTTTTAAAAGCATTATAGAAATTATTGAATGAAAAAAATGAATTAAATATGGTTTATAATGTAATTAACAGAAATAAATGGTATATTATTTTATCTTATATTAGTGTTTTTGAGGGTTTCATAAATTAAAGATTGTCTTCAAAGTCCGATTTTAATAGTTTTTGCAATTTGAGGTCACAATGTTTAGGCTCAGACTGGTAGAAAAATGCGGCATTAAATCCACCCATGTGCTTGCATAAATATTTAAATAAAATAGAAATAATTTGACAGAATATAGCTTTGATGAAATCCGACTCACTTAAGATATTTCAATAACTAAACCTCTCCCTTCTTTCACAGGGCTTCAACAAGCAATGGCGCGAACAAAATGAGAAATACTACTTAAAATCACTTGACCATCAAGGAATTAATTTCAAGCAGAATGATCTGAAAGCAATGCGGTCGAAATCTCTGTTTAACGAAGTCGAGTCTGCGTTCGCGGCGCGGAGGCCTGGCCCTCATGTTGTGCTTGATTACAACATGCAAAGTCGGCAGGAAGGTAAGCAAGCAAATTACATTATTTAATAAACGTTGCCCTACTCTAGGATTTTCTCCTGCGTTCGTGGCTGCGTTTAAAAACATACAAGGTTACATATACATCACACCTAGACCCGGCACAACAATTTGTGGAGAAGAGTTGTTCCTTGAATTGAATCAGCGAGACGTTACACAGTAGCCAGTTGACCAGCTACCGCACCAACCGTGCCGTCTTAGAATTATTAACTTTGGACAAGTATTTACTAGGTGAGCCATGCTTCGGCACGAATAGGTCGGTTACCACGGCTTTACAGAAAACCGACGTGAAAAAAAGGTTGTGTTTGTGTTTGGCCGTGAGAGTGAGGTTATCGAAGGCTCCATCCTCTATCCCTGATCCTCAAACAGCTGGTAACGCGTTTGTAATTCCTCTAGTGGTCCGGGCCTATAGGCGACGCCGATTACTTACCATCAGGTGATCCGTCTGTTCGTTTACCGGCTTATACCATAAGAAAGGACGTTACATAAAAACCTGTGTTCCGAAGTCAAAGCATTTATTTCAATGAACCCTTAATTAGGCACTTTTGAAACGTCAAAATTTAATTGTCCGTCAGTCTGTCTGTCAGTGAAGCTAGGCGCTCGTTCCAAATTGTAGTTTCGTACAAATATCCACATAAACTAGCATTAGTTACTATCCAAAATAACACCAAAACACTTTCCTTTCCCCGAGAATCGAACGTTAACACCTACTCAAAACAGTTTGCCCATTCACGACTATAAATAAACTAGATCGGCTCTTTATATAAAGTTTATAACTGTTGCGTCATTCGGCCTTCAGTGGAAGGTCACGCGCAAATTACGTATACAAACAAATTGCGCGCCAATCTGTCTTAGTTTTTCCTTATTTATTATGTATTGTTATGTCATATAGTAATTATATAATAATTATATTTGGATTGTCTATGATGGGAAAAGGATAAACTCCGGTTTATTTATTGAACTACATATTGTTATTAGTCATCAGGTCTCAATACTAGTGTTGAAATGTTTGTAAACAATAGTAAATGTGTTATCGTAAATTATTTAAAGTAAAGATTGCTTCAATTGGATCAAAAATCACTACAATAACTATCATGAGACATAATTTTTTTTCAAACAAGTCAAATTAAATCATTTATCAAATTTTATTTATTTTAACCCTTTGAGTACCGTCATTATAGACACAATAAAAGAAACATTAGGTTGCGGTCACCGGTTTCCTCGCGGTTTTTGACAGTTTAATGACCAATTTAACCTACCGATCATGTGTATTCGTATTTTTTATGCGATAATCCGGTAAACGAGCAGGCGGATCACCCGATGGTGAGCAAAAGGCGTCGACTATATACACCTGGAACTCCAGAGGCGTTACAAGTGCGTTACCGGCCTTTTGGGGATTAGGATTGTTGAGGATTCGGGGATTGGGGAGATCGGGGAGATCGGGTATTTGAGCCTCTGGTAATCTCACTCATACGACGAAACATACGCAAGCGTAATTTCACGCTGGTTTTCTGTGAGACAGTGGTATAAAAGTTAATCAATTCACAATAATAGCGATTAGGAAATCCAGTGCTATTAGCTCATTATATCGCGATATAAGCTTCCGTTTTCACTACTAATGCGTAGCAATTAAAATCAATTATTTCCTTCAAATATACTAGTTATAGAAGGAATTGGAAGTTAATGTTTGTGCTATTTTAATAGTTTCACTCACAATGTTTGTGAGAATCGATTTTATAGATATAATTCTGATACATTCTGGTTATTATTGATGTTTTGTACATAGTCCTACATGCATCAGGTCTAAATCCTGGCGTGTAGGTATAGCGGCAGTATTTTACACTTTACAAGAGAATACTAGTTAAAAAAATGGCCTCGTTGACGGGGTGGTCGCAAGTGCTGAGCAAGGGGTCGCGGATTCGACTCCCAGGACGGGCAAAGAAATACTGGGGTTTTTACAAATTCTCAGCAGTAGCACGAAGTCTGGGATTGTGCCAGGTATATGGAAATAGGCTTACACCCTATATTATTACATAGTGAAAAGTGGGTGTTACATTGTACAGTGGTATTAAGTGCCGTAATGTACACCTCTGCCTACCTTGGTGATAAAATACGTGATGTTATGCTATGTACTAGTTAAATCTTTTTGAGCTGATGAACTCAGTTTGTTGTTCTTTTAATGGTAATTTTAAACATATTTTCCTTCTAATTTGAAATTCCTATTCCTTTAGTTTATATAAATGTATATTAACATTATATTTTCCTTGTCAACAGCAATAAAAATCCTTCGCGATACAGCGGAGCTGCTAATCCACCACGCTCGACGTCAGACCGCCATTCAAAAGACAGAGAAGCGTCGCATCAAACAACTGCTCAGACACTTTCTGCCTGACCTCTTCGCTCATCCACGACAACCCTTGTCTGATGATGAGAGGGATGAAGGTATGATCAATAATACTTTATTTTTTTATCTATACTTAATCCAAGGTGTGGTGTGAAATACTTAAACAAACTAGAATGATTTAGCTACAATTCTGAGTGACACCAAAATTGTCACTTATTTACAAAGAAATCACATTGATCTTGGCTTAGGTCTATATTTGGTTCTTTTTTATGTGATTTAATCCGTCGAGCGTCCGCGTTCCTTATGTATTTCCTTATCCATGTAAGAAAATGCATTTATTTGGCCATTGGCACACGAAAACAAGGATCATAACAATAGAAATAAAACAAATACAGTCAAAATAAAAACAAAACATTAATAATAGATTTTATAAAAGAGAAAGCAGCATGGAGCATTTTTTCTTATGATCCACCGGGTGCTCATAAGGACGCTCGAGGGGTTAAAGAGATTTTGTTATGACGTAAAATTAAGCTATATATTAAGATAAAAATAAATGTAAAATTTGACATAAAGTGCATAAAATAATAAACTTATATTTGAGACAATGATGACAAACCGTGCGATGTGCAAACTACAGAATGTCGGTGGTGATACACGCATGCTGCCTTCCTACTGAAATGTCTCAATTATCGACAATTAAACAATAAACATCACGCTTATTCATTTTCAATGGTATAGATAGATAGAAAGGCAGTATAGTCTGAAATACCATTCAACTCGTTGCAAGATCTTACTCCTGTAATGTAAGCATAAGATTGTAGATAAGATTTGTCTTATAATGAGAAGTACGGTAAAACGGGGCGAATAGAATTCGGAGGGGTGAATAAATGTTGGGAAAATATTCTAACGTTTATTCACCCCATTCCTGTATCTATTCACCCCTCGAATTCTATTCACCCCATTTTACTGGGTTCCAAACAAATAAAATCTATGAACCATTTATAATATCTTAACTCCTCCAAACTACCTTAACAATACTTCTAAACATAACAAAAGATGAGAAAGCGTGATGTTACAATACTGTTATAGCAATATTCACTCAACTATAATTAATTAACTTTTCTAAATATGTAATAACAATGTCTATCTTGTTCTACAGAAGAGAAAGACGAGGCTGGTAGTCCGGGAAGTCCAACCGCGGAGAATCCGGAAGACAAGAATACTGATGATGTTAAACAGGAGAAACAAGAGGTAAGCTGATCATCTATATTAAAGAAATAATTATTTTAAACTTTTAGCGCCACCTTCGGCTATAGACGACAAAATTTATTTAATTTTATGCAGAATTTGATAGGATTTAATAAGTATGTTTAGATGGGCTACTACTACTACCATTAAATTTAGTTGTATTAAAAATATTCAATACTATCGGCCCGCCTCAGCTTTGCGTCGGTACTATTTGCGATGACTGTATAATTGTATAATATAATTTTTCTTGTATACAAACTTTGTTCTAACAAACACGTCAAAAATATTATTGTACAATCCGGTGCAGTCATTCGACAGTTACGGGCGTACATGTATACATTTTGTCGATCTATTTTTATTCACTCGTCGTGTATTTTCTATTGTGCCTTATATAGATTCTGTCAAGAGATCAAGAGGTTAATATAGATTCTGTAAAAATATAGGAAAATAATAATGGTTCCGAAAAACAAATTAATCTCCAGCGATCTGTGGCAGACTATAAAATGGATCTTCGAATAACAAAACTAAACTTCCGAATAGAATATTGAACCTCCGACAAAATTACTAAGTTACAGACAACAGACGTTTTAGGTTAGGTTAGTATTGTAGCAATAAACAGTCATGTAAAGTAGTCAGATGTAGATTTAATATCTTCTTTTCTTGTCGGAGCTTTTATTACTACCCAAAAATATATTCCTGTCACCAAAATTGGTTTGCAAAAAGTTATGTAGGCTTTTCTAACGCTAATGACAAAATCTACAACTGTAACTTATATGCCCGGCAAAACTATAGCAAAAATAAACTGAAGTACAACTATTGAACTTGATATTAGTTTGTGATATGTCATTAAAATTACTAATTTGTATTTCTGTTTGTCCACAGTCATCAGAATCTGACAACGCTTCAGACAAGAGCGGTAAAAACAATAAGAATAAAGAAAACAAACCCAAGAACAATAATAATACGGATAGCAAAGGTAATTTATTTGGACTTGTCACTGGTTTATAAAAATTAGATTAAATTCGTAGATACTAACATGTTACCTAGTCCATATATGTACTGATTATACTCCCTAGACATTCAGGAACTGTGTCTATCATATATCTAGTACTAATTTATGGTTTTATAATTTTCTGAGACAATGATGACAAACCGTGCGATGTGCAAACTACAGTATGTCGGTGGTGATACACGCATGCTGCCTTCCTACTGAAATGTCTCCCTCAACAATTTCTTTCAATAAAAATATCTTCAGTAATAGTTTTTTAACATCTAAATTAATATTATCTACTTTTATTACAGAAAGCTCAATTGGATCAGCAAATAGCGTGAAGCGCACTAGTAGTAATGAGGAAATGTCAATGAAGACTGATATTAAGTCGGAGCCGCAAGATGTCGAGGAAGACTATAGAGATCATCCGCCTAATGTGAGTATTGTTGTATTGTGTAATTTGATAAGTTGATATATTGAAAATATTGAAATGTTAAGGAAATATTAGAATGTTGAAAGATACTTATTTTGGTGGAAATACGAGACATTAGTAATAGTATCTTGAGTTGTGTATAAATAAAAGTTTGTTTCTTTTTGAATACTTCTTTGTGATGTTTTTATTAACATTTTCGTGTATTTGTTCTACAGGAGGCTCGGTTTGTGTGCACGTCGTCCTGGTACCTATTCCTGCGCGTGCACGGCGCGCTGTGCCAGCGCCTGGGCGCGGCCCGGCGCGCCGCCGCCGCCCTGCAGCGCGCGCGCAACGCCGAGCGGCCCGCGCGCCCGCCCGTCGCGCACGCGCTGCGCTGCGGCCCTCCAACCTGCCCGCCGCCGCCGCCGAGCCCGCGCACTACTACGCCGTGCTGCTGGACCTCGTGCGCGCCGTGCTCGACGGCAACATGGACGCGCCCGCCTACGAGGACGCCGCGCGGGAGATGCTCGGCATCAAGGCCTACCCCGCCTACACGCTCGACAAGCTCGTCAGCATCGCAGTACGACAGTTGCAGCACTGCGTGGCCGACCCCTGGTCCGTGCGCGCCGCCGACCTCGCGCGCGCCGGCATGCGCGGCCCGCACAGCTACGTGCGCCGCGCCGCCCGCCTGCTGCGCCACGACCACTCCGCCTTCCTCGTCAAGGTCTACGGCGGCGACTCCTGCCGCGTCACCTTCGAACTACTCGCGGCGCGCGCCCCGCCCGACGAGCCGGCCTGGCGCTACAGACCGTCGGGCGCCCCGCCGCCGCCCAAACCAGTATTCCTGCGGCGCAACGCGCGCGCGCGGGCGCCGGGCTACACGCACAACGCGCACTCGCAGGCCGCGCCGGCGCAGCCCGCGGTGCACGCGCGGCGCAAGCCCCCGGAGTGCGGCGCGCCGCGCCTGCTGGCCTTCCGTCCGCTGCAGCTGTACCGGCGCGGCTGCCTGGCCGCGGCGCGCGCGTCGCAGCCCCGCCAGGCCGCGCGGCGCCGCGACACGTTCCGCGCCTGGCTGCGCGACCGCGCGGCGCCCTAGCGCTCCGCCCCCCTCGCCGCCGACACGTTTTAGTGCCGCGACCACGGACTCTGCTATAGTGCGCCTAGTACGCCTGTCTTACTGTAAATATTCGACAGTCAGTGATAGTGTTACGACCTTGTTAACAGATCACATATTATTATATTCATAATAAAGTGTATGTGTTTCATTTACACACCTCACATGTTCAATGCGCAATAAACTCTGATTTATAGTCTTTGATGTGAAAGACAATCGATTCCTAGATATTTAAATACATTGTATATAATAAATATGTCGTTAAAACAATACAATGAATGTGTACACTTCAAAATAACTCATACGATACATTCTTATAGGAATGACATAGTTCTTGACGAAAATATTTGTTTATTAACACTTATATATGTCTGGTAGACACTATAAATCTAGTCATTCATGATTGTTAAACTAAAATATGTAGATTTTTGACTTCAAACTGTTGTAATTACTACAGAATTCTGACTGACTGGTGGAGTAATGTTAATTACGACTGCCGACCGTAAAATATCTGTTTCAATCCATATTTTGGATAATATTCTAATTGTTCACAATTTTCAACAATATCTCTAGTTTTATGTGACTGGTATTTGGTAATAGGCTTACTGCAACTGAACTTAACAACTTCAAAGATCTCTTGGACATAATTTGGTCGACGATTCGTGGCAGTCTTATTACTTTGCTCTGCTCCTTTAAAACAAAAAGCGTGATTTTATGTATATAATTTACCTCTGATGAAGATTTCAGTGTATACAAAGTAATATCTGACTATATGGTGAACAAATCCATGTAATTATTGTAAAAAATTTCTATAATACAGACGCTAGCATTTCAAACTATCCATAAATGTTGAATTCCTCTCACAAGATGTAAAATAATATATTTAAAATGAGACAGTTTGGTTGGACTTCTCTCAATAATGTAAAATATAGGTAATACATATTTATTTTGAATGGGAAAGTTTGATTTGCATGTCTGAACACAAATATCTTCAATCTCATTGTTATAGTGAAAATACTCGAATTCGTTATTTGTATTTATTGTAGAGAAAAATGAAAAATTGAACTTGCAGCGTAATCACTGTACTGTCTAATATGTATGTAAATATGAAAAGAAAAGTAAGACAGAATTTTTAATTTTTTAATAAAAGTATTACAAATATTTGCTTTGTTTTTCTCATTTATTCTCTACTAGCTTTTACCCGCGGCGTCGCTCGCGTCACAAAAGAATAAAAAGTAGCCTATGTGACAACCTAAAAGTACCTTATTATTTAATCCGGACTTCTAACTTTACGTCTGCAAATTCAAATCAATCGGTTGAGTAGTTACGGCGTGAAGGTGGAACAAACAAACAAACAAACTCATTTTCAGATTTATAATATTATTATTAGTAAGGATTAGCTTACTGTAAAGTATTACTGAGTTTTAAAAATGGTAGCACGAAGTCTGGGATTGTGCCCGGTATATGGCAATAGGCTCACCCCCTATTACGTGGAACTCATAACATAAATGGTGAAAAGTGGGTGTTACATTGTACAGTGGCATTAAGTGCCGTAATGTACACCTCTGCATTACCCTTCGGGGATAAAAGGCGTGATGTTATGTTCCCTACTAGCTTCTCAAAGTTTATTTCAATTAATACTTAAATTAGGCACTTTTGATACGTCAAAAATTGAATCGTCATTCCGACCATCACCCAGTTGTTACGCCCGCGTCTCCATGGAGGAAAAAGTAGCCTGTGTTATTCTAGACCATAATCTACCCTTCTTCCTAATTTCATTATAATCCCTTCAGCCATTTTGACGCGTGAAAGAGTAATAGGTACATATTGGTAGGATTTTACTTACGCTGTCCCTTATTACATGGGACTCGACTAGTGAAAAGTGAGTGTGACATTGTATTTGTGCACCCACAGAAATATTTTTTAATATTTCTGTGTGTGCACCTCTGTCTACCTCTTTAGAGGATTAAAAGGCGTGACGTCATGATCACTTAGTTTTTTGTCACGCTACTTAGGCACAGAGCATAAAACTGACAGCGTATGTTGCCCATTAAAACAATCGTGGTTTTACTGCTAATTTATATATACTTGGTTATATGTGCATCACAAACGCATTTAGCGGAAATTTTAATTTAATAATTATAATACATACTACGTACATAGGTAATTCTTTTCTAAACTAACGTAAAAAACGGTACGTTCAACCTCTTGTCTATCGATATATGAGACAGAGAAAAACGCATTGTCTCGCGTAGATCTACGTCAAAGAGTATTAATAAATATAGGAGTATGCTCTGACATCAAATTCAACAGCCTATAATTGCCCACTACTGAGCAAAGCCTCTTCTCACACGGAGAAGGTTTGAGCATTAATCACCACGCTTGCTCAATGCGGGTTGGCGATTACAAACTTCTAATTAGAAATTATAAGCCCAGGTTTCCTCACGATGTTTTCCTTCACCGTTTGTCAGTGGTATCTAGATAATCTTAGAAAGTAAGTATATATAACTCTGAAAATGCCACATTGGTACTTGCCGTTGGTAGGTTTCGAACCCGCACCCTCATGCATGAGAAGCAGGCGTCTCCGGGTCACCACGATCACGCTCTGACATACCAGAGGTTAAAAATAAACTGACTTCAACGTCCTCAATTTTGAGGTTGGTTTATTAATATACCGACTAAAACCTTTCCCATTCGCTGCGACAGACGCCTATCGGCGTATTTTTACAATTGTATATTTGTTGGCAAAAGCCAGTTATATTATCCATTTGAGCTGCTGACGACGCCCATCAGCGTTATAGACGAAAACCACCCCACAGCTGAAATATAAAGTTAATTTTCTCTGCCGCAATGTATGGGTTAAGTGTAACGAACACTTCTGAAAACCGCATCAAATTCGGCTCAGTTAATCGCGAGTTAATCGTACACAAGTATGTATGTATACAAGTCAAACAGGTCCTTGTTTTGAAAGTGGTTAATAATACGATTACTGAATTACTTGTGATGGACAGGAACAGCAAGGTTTTCCATAAACTACCTAGGGAGATATTTTTATATGGCACTAGCTTCTGCTCGTGACTTCGTACGCGTTCTCTCCCGTTCATCAGAATTTTTCTTCTGTCATAAGAAACTTTTCCTGGCAATAATAAACACAACAAAAAAAAATTAGCCAAATTGGTCTAGCCGTTCACAAGTTATGACGTGACAACGGAAAACGGGTTTCATTTTTATATAATATCTACTAGCGGACCCGACAGACGTTGTCCTGCATATCCACTTGAATGTATAAACAAAAATTCATTCAAATTAGTTCAGCCGTTTAGGATAAATAACCTAGATATAGATAGGTAATGCATACAAAGTCTGAAAGAGAAATGGAAACTATCGTTTTAGTCTTCTCTTATAATATCAGGTCTACTGGAAGAAATTCCAACAGTAATAAGTAGCACCTTTGTACTCTTATTTTATATAATTATGTATTATCCTCTGTGCTGTTTGTATGTACATAAATCATTACTTAAATAAATATCTACTGATTCATTTCGTTGCGGGAACCAAGGCAATTAGTCATTCATGTCCCTGGGACGCGCCGGACTTCAATGTTCCGGTGTTTTTATGGTTGTATCTACTGTAGATCCTGGCTTACAGGAGTTGCAGCCGTTTTGGGAGGTTGTGGCGGGCTTGTCCCATTAAAAAAAAGTTCATTCAAATTAATACTTAGGAATCGACAAGAAGTTACCTAGGATTATTCGATATAGCTTCTGCAAACAGCTGCGCCGCGTTCCCGAGGGGCTAAAAGTTTCATCCCGGTCCATTTAGCCGTTTTAATATGACTGAGTAATAAACATACACACAAAAAAGGCCTGCACTTTGTGTCACGGGTTCGATTCCCGCACGGAACAACTCTTTGTGTGATCCACAGATTGTTGTTCCTGGTCTGGGTGTGCTGTGTGTGTGAACGTGTATGTTATTAAACGCACACACGACACAGGAGAAAATCCTAGTGTGGGGCAACGATTTTTTTAAATGTACATAATCTCACAAATTTTCGCATTTACAATAGCGGTTCTAAAGCTAAATACGACCCTACAGGTACACAGCGTAAAAGACCGCTGCGGACAACCTAACATTCAACAAACTCATGCGTTTGGTACAGTAATTGCGGCTAGGGATCGAACCGAACAGTTTGTTTTATAATGTATCTAGACTGCCTCGTTTCTGCGAATAAATTTCTATTTCTATTTATAAGTAGGGTGAACTCATCTAATTCTGTGACTCGCCTAATAATTCGGTTTAGTAAATTTGGTAGAACTCTTAGGTTTCTAGAAAAAAATCTGATTATTTGTGCTAATATTCCTCATAAAAGACTGATTAAAACTCATGCGGAGACTGAATTAAATTAATTAATAATTTATTGGTATTTTATTACTCAAATGCCTTTGTCACGAAGTTAGATGAGTTCACCCTATTTTTTGTGTGCATAATAGTGCCTTTTCCTTTTTCATAAAAAGTAGTTCTAAAGTAGCCTGTGTTTTTTCAAACTATAATTTACCCTGTTCCTTTCAACCAGGATACCTTCAGCCATTTTCACGTAATTGAGTAACAAATGACTGCCTCGTTGGTCGAGTGGTCGCAAGTGCGACTGCCGGGCAAGGGGTCTCGGGCTCGATTCCCGGGTCGGGCAAAGTATCACTGGGTTTTAAAAAAATCTCAGTAGTAGCACGGAGTCTGGAATTGTGCCCGGTATATGGCAATAGGCTCACTCCCTAATAAATAGGACTCATAACATAAACTAGTGAAAAGTGGGTGTTACTTCTGTGTGCACCTCCGTCTACCCTTCGGGGATATGTATACTTTTTCGGGACACAAGTACCCAATGTAATGGCCAGGATAATAAAGTATAATCAATCATACCAAGTTTCATCACAATCAAGCCGGTAGTTTTTGCGTGATGCGTGAACATACAGACAAAAATCTTTTTTAATCACATATCCGGGCTTGGTTTGTTTCTAGTAACTCCCCCTACTATTTTTTATATTTTCAATGTACATAATACACTTCTACAGTATAATTATATGTATAGATAATCGTGCTTAGTTTAAAGCAATGGATTAATTAATTGATTGTGGGCTACAAAATGGGGTTCTTCAAGAGGACAGTGAATAGGTTTCTTAAGGGTCGGCAACATGTATGTGATGCCCCAAGTGTTGCAAGCGTACATAAAAATAAAATAAGCCTTTATTACTGTGGTTACAAATTTACAATTTAGTCTCTATTACTATACAATACATCAGTAGTTTTATCCCCAGCTTGTCCTTCGACATAGGCCTCCACCAAAGATTTCCAGTTTTCCCTATCCCTCGCAATTCTCATCCACTCTGGTCCACTCTGCGAAACGTACATAGGCCACGGTAACCGCTTACCATCAGGTGGGCCGTGCGCATTTTTGCCACCGTCGCGTCGTGGTACTAAAAAAAAAATCACCATCTATGAGGCTCATAAGCAGTCCTATTATCCCTAGGGCAATGTGTCTAATCTCTAATACAGCCAGGCTACAGAGGGATGCGGCGAGACGTGCGTGTCGAACTATCCAGAGTGGTGGTTAAAAAAAATTAGATAAAATTGGGTGCCCTTGAGGTATCGCTTAGGGCACTTTCTGGTAATCTGTCTCTGTTCATAGGTAACATAAATTATTACGAGAGTGGATACCACTGCCTAAAGGTTGAATGTTATCTAAAATTACTTAGATGAATCTATGTCTTACCAATTTAAGTAGGTATATTTCGTACACAGAGTAGCAAGATCTGAGCGGGTGCGTACTTAGTATGGCGCGTCAAACCAGTCGCCCTTGACAACTTCAATATTTCATCAGCCGCAGCTAGTTTTTCGTAATAAATGCTACGGAACGTACACATGGCTACACATCGAGCTTTACATAACCAGTATAAACTGAACGTTAAATGTGCGGTAAGATGATGCGACGCGATACCAGGATAAACTGGTTTTGTATAGATTAATGATTTTTCGCATAAAAAACTTGAATAAAACTCATAAAACATTCAAAGTAAATTTATTGAATGAAACAACTATTTAATAAAATTTATGTTCTCGATTCACATTTGCAGCATTAGCAGACATTAAACTAAATATATATTCGATAATACCATTTTGATATAACATAAAAATATATTACTTTGCTTAAAATAGGCCACCGAATCCTCATGTTGTTAAAAAAGTAAAAAATCACTGTTAAACGTATTTAGTTTCTTGGCAAAAAAAAGGAATAAAAATTCAATTTTTTCATTGGCAACTTTACATATAGATAGTGGAAAAAAGCCTCTTTAACAGTTAAGAGTTGCCATATGAAAAAAGAAAGCAAAAATGGCGCCAATATTCTGTTCCTTTTTGCCAAACGTCAAATTATACACCAAGAATGTTGAATAAAGGCGGACTGTGTCTTGAAACAACGACTGTGGCACCTGGTTCCTATAGAGAACATAAACACATTGATACGAAGGACATCTGTCATTTTCGTAAGTCTGGTAACGTAATAACCCATTACACCCATTTGGTCCTTCAACCATTTATAAGTTAAATTATATTACATTATGTCCGCCTTTTTATCATCGTCCTTGGTCCTTGTACACTTTACAAATGTAGTGTCACAATTCAAAATGAAGAATAAAATTCTTGATTCACGTGATTTCTTATTACCATCTAGCTTTTCTTAAACCAGGCTTCTCACATCGCTAAAGGCTAAATTAAGCACAGTGCTACGCCCTACACATCGATTCAGTAAAGTACCAAAAACGGCATGAAACGAATGATTTTCCATAAGGCCCCTGTGATGAGGAGAAGTTTCATATAAAGCTTTGTGTTATAACGTCGGTACTTTTAAAGTTATAGTATCTGTTTGAATGTTAACAGCTTGTACGTTTACCGTAGAGCGGTTATGTCTCATATGAGATTTGACAAGATCTGAATTGACGAGAGCAGCCATTAGGCTTAATTCGCCAGCTAAAACGGTGGCGCAAATCAGGGAAGCTAGTCTTGCCGAGTTCTCAGCTGGACGAACCCCAGCTCCTTTCACCCCTAGAATCTCCAGACAAGCGCCTTGGCCTGTCAAAATCGTGCCCCCACCGACAGTACCCACTTCCAAAGACGGCATGGTGCAAGTCACGTAAAGATCTTCACCATTTTCCCCACAGCATTCCATATTTGTGGAGCAATTCGAGCTGGTTACATTCTGAGCTGGGTCTTGGCCTGTTGCTATGTAAATAGCGGTCACCATATTCGCTGCGTGTGCATTATTACCACCAATGGACCCGGCTAAAGCCGACCCTGAGAGATTCTTAATCTTATTGCACCGCGCCAGAGTTTTAGCGTCAGTTTTGAAGATCGTCCTCAAATTGTCACTTGTTATAGTAGTCTCACAGACCACTCGCTTCCCTCTACCTTTGACCCAGTTAATAGCGGCTGCTTTTTTATCAGAGCAATAGTTTCCTGATAAACTAATAACTTCCATGTCTGGGAAGTAGTTTTTGAGGAGTTTTAAGGCGTTTTCTGCGCCCTTTGAGACCATGTTCATGCCCATGGCGTCTCCTGTGGTCGCTCTAAATCTTAAGTACAGCGTTGCCCCATCCACGCCTATGTGGATCTCTTGCAGGCGAGCGAACCTCGATGTGGAGTCGAAGGCTTCTTTGATTAAGGCGTAGTTGTCCTTATTGTCTATCCATTGTCTGCACTCATGTGCTCTGACAACGTTTGGCAGTTTGATGGCGGGCGCTCTCGTCATACCTACGTCTTCTACCACACTCGTTACACCCCTCGGACCGATAGCCTTGGCTCCTCTATTCGTAGAAGCAACTAACGCTCCTTCTGTGGTCGCCATTGGGATCATGTAGGCCTTACCGTCAACGACCAATGGACCTGCGTATCCCACCGGTACTCCAACATAACCAATCACATTTTCACAACACGCATTCAGCACTTTAGAATAATCGTAATTTAAGTAAGGCAGTTGTTTTATAGCTAGCTCGGTCTGGAATCTTGTACCGACCACTCTCCTGCGTAATCTAACGCCGCGGAGTGGGTCACCCAACACCGCTTCCAACCGATGTAGAGGTATATGTGATTGTTCTACCAACATCACCACTTCCTCGTCACTAAGTGAGATGCAGCCTCCTTCAGATCTGTATATTTCGAGGCATTCAGCCATTGGACGCTTCTTCGCGTTCAATTTAGCTGCAGAAGAGCTTGGAGAGAGAGTAGGCCACTCCTCTTCAGAAACTCCTTCTGTCTGAGTAGACACGTCAGAGTTAGAATCATCTCCAACTGAGAATTTCGGCTTAATTCTTGCTTGCTCTTGAATTACTTCTTTCACGGTCATGTCATTCATGTCAATGACCCAGCTTCGATGCTCCTCGAAGAACATAAATTTAATAATTAAGGCACATAGTAGTGTCGCTATGACTATGTAGTCGGCGGAGACTGAGAACCATTTCACGTAGGAATGTAGGAGGACGTTGTCGTTCGGGGTAGGGGTTAATGTGTCTGTGGGACCTTCTATGATCCCGTTATCGACACTCCAAGGCCATCTACTGGTCAGGTGTACACATAAGAGACCAGCGGCCATTATCATCTTTACTCTTTGAACAACAGGGTTCGGTTTTAAATCAGCTTCCGAGAATGGATTGTCAGGTGATATTTCTTTTCGCCCTGAAGCGAAGTCCGCTACTAAAGATAGACAGGCGGGGTAAAATGTCACAAATACTAAATAGTCTACCAACAGAGCTAGGCAGGCAAATGTGCACATATGTTCTAATCTAGGGACGCCAGATAACGCCCCGACTCCTACTAATAAGACAGCGAGAAGTGTGTCTAACGTAGCCGTGGGTCCAAGCAAAGACAACGCTCTCCCAACCCTCTTTCCTTGGTCTTCTCCAGCAGACCAGCCAGCCTTCGCCATCCTCGCGCCCCTAGCCACATCAGCGACCAACAAAAATAGGAACGGCGCATCCTTTATACTCGCCAACTCACTCCAGAACAAACTGGCTAGGGCTGAGGTGAAGATGAAGCTGGCAAAAGTCGAAAACACCCCGGCGATGATGAGAAGATACTTCGAAGCTATTTTGTGGAGGTTGGAGATTTGATAGTAGGCGTATAGGAGGGCTGCGCAGCGGACGAAGGTCATTATAACTGCGTCGGCAGCTTGGTACTCGGCTTCGAGGCCTGGGCAGGCGCGGGCCCACCCTGCGCAGTGCTCTGATCTATTCCCTGGGCCATTTCTCTCAACGCTGGCAGCGCAGGCCAGCAGGGCTAAGGTAGCCACGATCACCTCCCATTGGTGTCGCGCGCAGAACTCTCCGTGAGCTCCCCACACTTTCATTTCTACTGCTTAGCTGCTTTACAGCTGATATCTGGAATGAAAGAAAGGTTTTTGTTTAGTCATTGTTTGTAAAAAACAGAATACATTAATTTGGTTTTTCATCTACTATTTAACAATCGTAGTAATAGTAGTCCCGCGTGTTTTAAATTAATTAATTGTAAATTAATAGTCGATTCGCGTGGGAGGATTATAAAAACAGAGATTTAATTTTTTGGTTATTAATAATACCTAGGGTCCTTCAAGAGTAATTCTTTATTTGCACTTTCATTAGAAAATGTCAAAGAGGTCAGCCGGCAATTTGAAAAAAAAAAAAACTTTTCAATATGAGTCGATAAAATATCTATACTTAATTTTTGAACTTCAGCACTTCAAGGTCAAATTAAACGAGGTGTATTTAGACATTATTTTAGAAAATGGCAACCTTGAATTTAACTGTTACTTTGAAATATATTATCGCCATTTGTTCTGTATATTTAACGAGCGACCCGCCCCGGCTTCGCACGGGTGAAATATGCACGTATTGTACATACAAACCTTCCTTAAGAATGCACTCTATCTAATAAAGGAAACCGCTTCAAAATCCGTTGCGTAGTTTTAAAGATTTAAGCGTATATAGGGACAGACAGACGGCGGATAGTAACTTTGTTTTACACTATGTAGTGATTACAATTAGCAACATCAGCGTGGTTTCATCTGTTGCCCAGCTTGTTGTACCGTAATGTTTTATAGCTATTGCCTTCTTCGATAAAGGGATTATCCAACACAAAAAGAATTATTCAATTTGAGCTGTAGTTCTGGAGAATAGAGCGTCAAACAAACTATATGCTTTATATACCTATTAAAAATATTACATCCCTGCAATTATGGACGCGTGAATTTGAATGCACGGTTGGTGCGATGGCTGGGCAACCGGCTGCCGTGCAACGTGTCGCGGGTTCGATTCCCGCACGGGACCACACTTCGTGTGATCCACAAATTGTTGTTTCGGGTCTGGGTGTCTTTGTGTATGTGAACTTGTATGTTTGTAAACGCACCCACGACACAGGAGAAAATCCTAGTGTGGGGCAACGGTTTATAAAAAAAAAAAAAAAAAATATGTATGTCACGTAAATTGAGCAATTTATGTGACATACATATTTGACTATTGAAAAACCTAAAATAATTAAATGGCATTAACTCAAACGTCGTGGTTGCCCGGAGGTTTAAGACGCTTCTCATGCATGAGAGTGCGGGATCGAAACCTACCAACGGCAAGTAGCAATATGATTTTTTCCGAGTTATATGTACTTTCTAAGATTATTTAGACACCACTGACAAACGGTGAAGGAAAACATCGTGATGTAACCTGAGCTTATTATTTCTAATTATAAGTTTGTAATCGCCAACCCGCATTGAGCAAGCGTGGTGATTAATGCTCAAACGTTCTCCGTGTGAGAAGAGGCTTTGCTCAGCAGTGGGCATATATAGGTTGTTGATGTATTAACTCAATTCATGAAAATTTTCGTTTAATAACAGTTTTTCTCTAAAGATGCGATTTGTTTACATTTGCAAAAAATACAATCGTCTGACGTGATTTATGTAGATATAGTTGGAATAATAAATAACAGTTTTACACGTACGAGAGCCATACTTCGGCATGCATGTGTCGGCTCGACCGGAGTGACACCACGGACTCATAGAAAACTGATATGCTTACAATGAATTTATTACATGTTGCCATTTTTATATATTGCCACAGTATATTGGCACAGCCTTTATCCAAAGCAGCTACCTTAATATATAAAATAAAAACTGCGTTTAAAAAACCGACTTCAAAAAACCAAAAACTAATAACAAACAAAAAGTCAAAACTAAAAAGCAAAAAATAACTATTATTAGTACTGATAGGTTACCCACCCACTGATAGGTAAGAAGTAAAAAAAGCATATATACGGTCGAATTGAGAACCTCCTCCTTTTTTGAAGTCGGTTAACAATCAGCCGAACATAGTACCCCCTTCTTTTTTTGAAGTCGGTAAAAACTGGCTTCTGCCCGCGACTTCGTACGCGCAATCCCGTTTTCTCCGATTCCCGTAGGATTTTCAAGATTATCTTCTGTCATAACAACCTTCTCCTGACAATAACAAAGGCAATAAAATTAGACAAATCGGTCTAGCCGTTCTCAAGTTATGGCGTGACAACGGGAAACGGGTTTCATTTTTATATACCTAGGTATAGAAGATAGTAAATAAAAGTAGTATTTAAGTAAGTAAGTTTAGTTAAATATATTTAGGGAATGATTTATGTGTTTTTTAAATTTAGATTTTCACATTAGTTTTCCATCGGTCCAGCCGTTTAGGAGTTTGAGCGCGACTGAAGAAATTAAATAAACACATTTAACCATTCATTAATTATTTAGTACTCAGTACACGATTATCGTTATTTATAGTAATATAGGGTAATTTATTTAAATAAATTATCGGTAAATTAGAATAGAAGTGTGTTACATTTGCATAGATAACTAAAATAAATTAAAAAATAATTTAAAGTTACGAAATTGCCTTGTTGGTCATGAGTGCGAAGATAGGGCTCTCGAGCTCCGGATTCAGCAAAGTAATAGGTAATGAGTATTTATCGAAATTTCTTGATACTTAGGTCTCGTAAATTGTGCCTAATATATTTTTTTATGCTATAAGCCGGTAAACGAGCAGACGGATCACCTGATGGTAAGCAATCGGCATCGCCCAAGAACACCTGAAACACCAAAGGCGTTACAAGTGCGTTACCGGCCATTTGGGGATTGGGAGTTTGAGGATCGTTGGGGATTCAAGGATTGGGGAGATTGGGGAAGAGGAGGGTAATTAGGCCTCCGTTAACCTCACTCACACGACGAAACACAACGTCTGCTCGTTTACCGGCTTATGCCATAAAAAAAGGCTTTTAGCATGATATTTACAGCATATAAGCATTTATATGTAGCGTTATTGAAACAACAGTAATATTTCGCTTAGCGTAACGCTTGGGTAAATTATTTACATGCAACGGGAAAATAGACAGTTAGATAACATCACGCCTTTGAACACTGCAGTGGAAAGCAGAGAAGCAATATATGTAAAAGAAGGATTTTTTAAGCTCAAGAAGCATAAAGGATCGCAGTTAACAATTTCATTTCTGCATGCCCCCAAAAAAGGGGGGTTTGAGATCGCAGTGTAAAAGGTTCAGGTTTATCAGAGAGCGCTGCTGCCCGGTCTCTGTCTAATGTGTAGTCCCTTAGTCGGGTATACGACACCCGCGGGAAGAGTAGCGTTGGTGATTATTGTATTTAGCCTTATAACTACACCACTTATACAAAAGCCAGGATATAATCTACTGAAATGCCCAAATATAACTTACTAACCCTTACTAATATTATAAATCTGAAAGTGAGTTTGTTTGTTTGTTTGTTCCGCTTTCACGCCGTAACTACTAAACCGATTGCTTTGATTTTTTGCAGACATAAAGTTAGAAGTCCGGATTACATATTAGGGTACTTTTTATCCCGGAAAAATTTTATATTCCCGAGGGAAAACAAAAGTATTGGTATAGATGGCGCTGTGTGTATTGGTATATGTCACATAGGCTTTTTATCCTTTTGTGACGCGAGAGAAGCCGCGGGTAAAAGCTAGTTATAAATAAATGCACAAAAATCGCGAAGAACAGTTACAATTCTCGCAAAAATCTATGTATGTATTTAGAATAATAATACTTGGTGACCTATAAAAGAACCAGTTTTGGAGTTGTTCGCTCACACACGGACAGATGACCGTGACAGCTTTCTATGAAAACGTCGCCATTTCATACTTGTTCTAGATGAAAACGAAAGTGTAACATAATACGGTATTTTATCACTAATCAAATTCAATACAATAACAACATAACATCACGCCTTTTATGCCCGAAGGCGGAGGTGCACATTATACCACTGTACAATGTAACACCTACTTTTCACTATTTATGTTATGAGTCCCATGTAATAGGGGGTGAGCCTATTGCCATATGCCGGGCACAATTCCAGACTCCGTGTTACTACTGAGAATTTTTAAAAACCCAGTAATAGTTTGCCTGACCCGGGAATCGAACCCGAGACCCCTTGCCCGGCAGTCGCACTTACGACCACTCGGCCAACGAGGCAGTCAAGTAGTAGACTAGATGTATTGTAATAAAAAAATTCGGTCGGCCGATTCCCGGGTCGGGCAAAGGTTTTACTGGTTTTTTAAAAATTCTCAGTAGTAGCACGGAGTCTGGAATTGTGCCCGGTATATGGCAATAGGCTCACCCCCTATTAAATGGGACTCATAACATAAATAGTGAAAAGTGGGTGTTACATTGTACAGTGGTTTAATGTGCACCTCTGCCTACCCCTTCGGGGATAAAAGGCGTGATGTTATGTACATCTAGTCAATTTTATATAGTAAAGAAGGTACCTAGTTACACACTACAATTATCCACATCTATAATTGTTACTAAAATTATAAATTACAGCAATATAAAAGGTTCAGGTTTATCAGAGAGCGCTGCTGCCCGGTCTCTGTCTAATGTGTAGTCCTTTAGTCGGGTATACGATACCCGCGGTAAGAGTTGGGGTGGTGAGAACCGTGACAACTGTGACACGGCTACTCTATATAATCATAGCAAAATTACTGTTTAATGAAGTCTGCTTAACCATTCACAGAACAACAGGTGTTAAGCATTTATATTGCGAATCACGTATCTGATATACGTACAGAATAAATTTAAAGATTTTAAACAGAAACATACTATGGTAGTCCGTAATATTTAATTAATATTCTGCACACGAATTACTGAACCTACAATAAAATCATACTGTCTGCTTACCGCGGTCTGGTTTTAGATGAGTGACGATACGATTTTTGAAGTGTGGGAGAGGCATTCTTCGGTACTAAAGGGCCGGCTTGATTTGAAATCGCCAACACACATTAATCACCACGCTTGCTCAATAACGGTTGGCGATTTCAAACTTAT